GTTGATTAGGTCAATGCCTTGATGGAGTTCGAAGATGAGCATTTTCCGCTTAGGGTAAGCAGAGATAAGCAATTTGATTGGTTGATGCTTTGGGACACGATAACTTTAGTTCTAATTAAGTGAGATTGATGAAACTTGGTGTATAGATTTATTATATGAATACCTTAACTAAGTTCGATAATGAACATTTTTTGCTGAGGGTAAGCAGAGTGATAAGCAATTTGATTGGTAGAAACTTTGGAACACAATAACTCTCCTTCTAATTGAGGTAGAATGTTCAAACTTGGCATAGGTGTCTATTAGGTGAATGTTTAAACTTGATGTATATGTAGATGTTCATTAGGTGAATGTCTTGACTGAGTTCAATAATTAACATTTCGAGCTGAAGCTAAGCAGAGCTAATCGATTTCATTTGTCGATGGTTTCGGACAAGATAATCTTGATTCTATCTGATAGAGAGTGATGAAACTTAGTGAAAAAAATAAATGTGCGATTAATTAATATGTGTCATCTATTTATTTTGCAATTTCGGCGGGGGACATCAGCCTCACTGTTGGCTTGTTCGGATTTATTTTTACAGCACGCCGTCCACCCATTCTAGAAGAAACAAAGGAAACATTATCACCCGTAGAAGACCCAAACAAACCGACACCAGAGGAACCACCACCCAATAAAAGTGCCGAGAAATTGATGACAGCAGAAATATCAAAACTTACTAAACGTAAGACGTTTACCAGAATATTGTTTTCCAGAAAAAAATGGTCTCTGAAATGTATTTTAGCCTTATTAGTATCTTCCATGTTGCCAAGTCAATGTATGTCTGGTTATGGGCGATGAGTTATTAGCCTCTTGACCCGAATGCGACTGACTCGAACCCAGGCATTGGCCGAGAAGATTCTTCTTCCTTCGTTGTGTTTCCTGACATAGGCGGACGTGGAAGTAGGGGGGGGGGGGGCTGTGGATTAAAACATTTTGTCTGAAGCACTCTACTTTTTGTGCGACATTTTTGTGAATTCAGATGCAACTGTTACACTTAAGTGATAACAGAGATCAGTTTCATGAGAGAGAGAGAGAGAGAAATGGGGTTTAACGTCCACTTGACACAAACTAGGTCATTTCGGGACCAACATAGGGTTTTTAATTTTATTTCAACAATTCGCCTGCGCGCAGGTGTCTTTAGCAGTGGGAGGAAACCGGAGGACCCGGAGAAAACCCATGAGGTTGGACAGGCGACCCTACTCCTTGTCACGTACAACCAGGGATTCGAAACCACGCCAGTCGACTCAATGACAGACTTTATGATACAGCGCGCTCACGCTAACCATTCAGCCATCCAACCCCCCGATCAGTTTCGTAAATATATGATTTATTTACCCCAGGAACTTAAATATAAAACAGCTACATAAATACAACAGGAACATAAATCCAACAGGAACTAATCTACACCAGGAAACAATAACATTAACATTAATAGACAACCATTCCGCCCTTCTGCCACGGCAGCGGCTGAACACCGGTGAGCCCATACACTCCTCTCTGCTCCTCTAACCAAATCTCTCTCCAACCATATCTTCTTACTACAGAAAGCACAGGGTCTTATATGCCCCTAATAAAGCTAACTGTGCAAATTCTATTTAATCAGCTAGCCTGGAGGTCGGGTGTTCGATCCCTGCATTGGCCGAGAAAGTTCATCTCGATTTCCGGCGTGGTTTCCCCTTGTCAGTGATGCAGGATGGAGGGCCTGGCAAGGACAGCTGCCTAGTCATTCGGATGGGACGAAAAACCAAGGTCCCGTGTACACATTGGCGTGCACGTAAAAGATCCCTTGGCAGTTGGAATTCGATATAAGAGTAGGCCGTAGCGCCGCTGCCCGGGCAAAATTTCCCTCATAGCACACTATATGGCGTATGCCCGTCTTCAATTAGCCCAGGTTAGGTGCAGAAGAGTAGGACGTTAAACCCCATTTCATTTCATTTCATTTCTGTTTAATCAAAAGCATGGTCACTACATGTGGGAATTATTACGTCCATAATTAAATATGTGTATATATGTAGTGGATGTGTAGTCGACAGTATAGTTTATATTGTATTTAATTATGTATGGGGTTCAATGTGTTCACACATGTGGTGTTCAAATTGGTTATATGCATTTAAATAAATACTTTACATGTATACAATATAATCTTAATATGATACAAGTTATGGAGCACTTCGTCACACAACTGCAGTCCGAGTGAATTGTATAACTCATGCGCTAGAATAGCAGAAAAAACGCATTTGCGGCGATTAAATTTTCAAATGTTTCTCGGGGAGGGTGAGGCCCCCATGCCCCAAGACAATAGTTATTGCTTGGGATTCAGGTCAGCCACCTAAGATTGGCTATATAAGACCACATTGAAGTTGCTGTATTCACGGGCTAGAATAGCATGAAAACGCGTTTGCGGCTGTCAAATTTTACAAATGTTCTTGATGGTCCCTTCTTCGAGCATTTCAAGTTCTGCCCCCGCCCCGCTAACATTCATCGAGCCCGTACACCTTTGTTTTTCCAGCCCGGTTCTCGCTCGCCTGTCTGGTTGTTCGTGAATAATTAGCTCAGACGAAATTTGTATAACTTAGGTTTGTTTTTAATTTATTAAATTTTCTGTTTTATTTTCTTCCAGTTAGAAATATAGTTAAAACTGTAACGGGATTAAACCTAGAAGCTAAATTACGTCTTTATGTCACACCGCCTGTCTTGAAGAAGGTAACTTGACCAAATATTTTCATTGCCGGCCATCTGTAGTCCATTAATGGTTCCGTCTTCTCAATGGTGCAGGACCTTGCAAGGAACAATGTCTAGTCGTTGTGAAGAACAATATGCTCTAAATCCCATTTCTTTTCACGTAGATGTCAGGCCCGTGGCTAGCCCAAAACCAAAAAATGTTGGGGTTGGGGGAGAGCTTCTGGGGGCGTCGATGTATCTACACTAGACAGTCCTCGGCGAACGGCACAGTGGACGAGCCTCCCTTCGGAGAACGGTCTAGGGTGCTCTCCCCTGAGAAAATGTTGGAAAATAGGGTTTGCATAGGAACTATGAAAAAGACGGAAATTTTCAGTTTTGAGGCTGAATTTGCGATATTGGCGTATTATGATATTTTGATATGAACATTATAAAAATTTGAAGGAAGGAATACGACTTTAGCGTACTTATAATAATATATGAGAAAAACCAATAGCTCGGAATCGGGTTAGAGTGCGACTTGTTTGAATTTTGAAGATTATTACGTCTGTCGCGGGCTTGAATCAATCTCATCCCCATCTTTGAATTTGACTTGGAAAATTTCCTACAATCTGAATAATATATGTTTAAATTTAGCTAGATGAAGATCAACCTGTAGAGTATTTATCTGAGATGAGAGAAGTATCGGTGGTGTTTATAAATCTGTTATTAGAAGAAGGAGAGGAAGACACAACTCAACTACTACAAGATGTATTTGACATTATTTATATGGAAACTAATGCTGTTAATGGCTGTCTCAATAAAATATTCTTATTTGATAAGGTAATTTGTTAATAGTAATTTGAATGGAATGCCGTTTAAAAACACAACATGGTTACGTGTGCAATACAAAATGAAATGAAATGGGGTTTAACGTCCTACTGTTCTTCTCCTATACTGGGCTAATGAAGACGGGCATACGCCATACAGTGTGCTATGAAATGAAATGAAATGGGGTTTAACGTCCTACTGTTCTGCTCCTATACTGGGCTAATGAAGATTGGCATACGCCATACAGTGTGCTATGAGGGAAATTTTGCCCGGGCAGCGGCACTATCGCCTACTCTTATATCGAATTCCAACTGCCAGGGGATCTTTTACGTGCATTCCAATATATACACGGGACCTCGGTTTTTCGTCCCATCCGAACGACTAGACAGCTGTCCTTGTCAGGCCCTCCGTCCTGCATCACTGACAAGGGGGAACCACGCCGGAAAATCTGGATGAACTTTCTCGGCCAATGCAGGGATCGAACACCCGACAGTGTGCTATGAGCGTCGATAAGATGCACGCCAATGTGTACATATGATCTCGGTTTTAAATACCATCCGAACGACTAGACAGCTGTCTATGTCAGGTCCTCCGGGCAGGAACATCCCCATGAACATTCTCGGCCATCACCAGGAGCGAACCCACGACCTCAAGACTAGCGAGCCAGCGTCTTATTCACTTAGCCACCGTGGCTTCCGTATAAAATACAGCTTTGCCCGGAAAGCTGCTTTACCGCCTGCCCTTTTTTGATTTCGATGTGTTTGGGTGTGTGCGTGTGCGTGGGGGCGGGGGTCTAGTGAATCATAAGGTATGTCATTGAGTCAAGTGTGTGGCAATCTGAATAAAATACAGATCTATATTTCGTTTCGTTTTTTTATACTTTCGATGGCCTACACACTTGAAGATCTAACCGGTTGTTGCGATAGGTCGCGTCAGAGGTCATACGAGCGGCAAGTGAGCCTATGACGTCAGACATTTGATTAACCAATCAGCATTAGTGTTACTAGTGGATTACCTACAGTTCCGTGCAAAACACTCCTAAAGCTTGCCGTAACAGACCCTTTCATTGGCTAATACCTCACACTATTCAGAACACGTCAATGATAACAACTCTTCCAGATCTTAGTGTAGTAAAGACAAGTAAAACCAAATTTTGAACTATAAAAAAACAAAATGAAATAGGATCTGTGTTTTAATCAGATTGGTGGTGTGGTACAATCTTCGCTTGTATGTGACAAAGAGTATAGTCAACTGTCCAATCCCGTGGGTTTTCTCCGGTTCCTACGTTTTTTTCTCCCACTGCTAAAGACCCCTACAAACAAGCGATTTATTGAAATAAAAATGAACCGTATGGACATTAAACCCCATGTCTCTCTACCTTATGACAAAAACCAAAACAGAACACCACACCGTTAGCTACATCAACACAAAACATCTACTTCACAGAAAAGCCTCGCGAGAAGTGGTTTAAGATGTTCCGAATACTGTAAGTACGCCTACCGCTAACACGCACCTGTTGTGACTGTAAGATCAATAGGTTTAGAGTTTATGAAATCAACGATACACGTTATTTCCATGGTAACAAGAACTATTTTTATCTATTTCAAGGGTTGTACGTTTTTAGTTTTATTTGGTTTACCTGGTTATAAGCATGAACGTGACAGTGCACGTGCTTTACAATGTTCTACAAGAATGAAGAAAATTCTGGATGCCGTAACAGGTGTATCGTAAGTTTTTCTTCCAGCCAATTACATTTTACTGCATAAGTTACGTTACCAATAATATTCGACATAAGTTACCAATAACATCCTTCAAAAGTTACGTAACAAATTACATCTTACATAAGTTACCTATTACATTCTGCAGAAGTTACGTTACCAATTAAATCCGACATAAGTTACCAATAACACCCTACATAAGTTACCAATTACATCCCACATAAGTTACCAATAACATCCTACATAAGTTACCAATAACATCCTACATAAGTTACTAATTACATCCTACATAAGTTACCAATAACATCCTACACAAGTTACTAATTACATCCTACACAAGTTACCAATAACATCCTACACAAGTTACTAATTACATCCTACATAAGTTACCAATAACATCCTACACAAGTTACTAATTACATCCTACACAAGTTACCAATAACATCCTACACAAGTTACTAATTACATCCTACATAATTAGGCTATTAATTATATACTACATAAGTTACGTTACCAATTACATCCTATAATTTTATTATGACATTATTTAAGTTTGGTTATGCTGTATAGAATATGCATATCTATAAGATATGTTTCCTTATTGTCGCTGTTTTTTAGGATCGACAGTAATTATATATATTTTTAGAAAAAAAGACATTTTGTGCCAGGTTGTTAGAAATAGACATATTTCTATGGTTTCTGTAATTATATTTTCTAGGAGGGTTTCAATCGGTGTAACGACTGGTGCGACATTTTGTGGTGTCGTGGGACATAAACGTAGACATGAATATACAGGTGAGTTATTATTCTCATTCAAGGGCAGAACGTTCCGGAATTAAATTCTCTTAATTCCCAAAATAGTGTCAATCCAGTGAAAAGGAGAATTTCGGAGTCCAACGCATGTACTGAGTACTGACTGCATAAAAAATATCACAACTCATTATGACACCGAAGAAACATATTTGTTACTTAAAGTACGTCACGATTCTACTCACACCACCTCAGCTGGCAGAACTGTGGCAGGTCTAAATTCAATACCATTTGATTGCAATTCTGTCAATTCGGGATGTTCCGGTTTGACAATCGAGCAACCCCGAAATATTTAGATTATAGAAACATCAATACGTCTCTTAATAAGGAAAGTAAATGACAGTCAATGGGAAGTAACTCTCAAAAACTTAACTAAGAATCAGACCACCATTAACAACGTATGAATGACTAAGTGGAATATAACTGAATAGTTAATTTGTTTTATTTTGTTAGTTATTGGTAGAAAGGTGAATATGGCTGCTCGATTGATGATGCACTACCATGATAAAGTTACGTGTGATGACGACACGTTCACATTAAGTCGTCTGTCAGTCAGTAATTTTGATATTTTAACCACGAAGAGAATGAAAGGATTGCGTCACGTGGGAACTATCCGAGAATTCAAATTTCATGAGAACGAAGAGACGGGGCTGGAAAACACCCTTCCATATTTTGACTACCCAATTCTAGGTAAAATAGGGCGTATGGGATTATTTTTGAAATGAAATGTGGTTTAACGTCCTACTGTTCTGCTCCGACTGGGTTAATGAAGACGGGCATACGCCATACAGTGTGCTGTGGGGAAAATTTTGCCTCGACAGCGGCACTACGGCCTACTCTTATATCGAATTCTAACCTGGAGGTCACATGTTCGATCCCGGAGAAAGTTCGTCGGGATTTTTCGGCGTGGTTCTTCCTTATCAGTGGCGCAGGACATTGGGCCTGACAAGGGAAAGCGGATAGCCGTTCGGATGGGACGAAAAGCCAAGGTCCCGTGTACACATTGGCGTGCACGTAAAAGAACCCTTGGCAGTTGGAATTCGATAGAGTAGGCCGTAGTGCGCACTGTATGGCGTATTACCGTCTTCACTAGCCAGTTGGGGACGAACAGTAGGCCGTTAAACCCCATTTCATTTCATTCCATTTACTATAATTTATGACGGTTGCCATTCTCAGGAACAAGTTCCAAATCCCCACAGCCCCGTTTGCCAACGCTACGCTGTTAGTCCCATACGCCATATGAATTGATGCCGAGGGGCGTGTTTTGTACATCTACAAAATATTGTACTATTTCCTTTTACAACCAGGGAACCGCCGGGGCTCTATGAGTAAAACGTTGCACAACTAACCTGAAAGTCCCCAAAAAAGAAAGTTTATCGCGACTTTCCGGCGTGGTTCCCGTCTGGGTACACATTGGCATGCACGGGAAGAAACCTTGTCCGGGCAACATTGCCATCATACACAGGGAGTTGGATGGCTGAATGGTTAGCGCGTACGCGTTGTTTCATAAGGTCTGTCATTGAGTCAACGGGCGTGGTTTCGATTACCCGGTTGTACGTGACGAGGAGTATAGTTTTCTCCGGGTCCTCCGGTTTCCTACCACCATATGTTAATCCCTTAATGACCTAGTTTGGCTCTCTCTCTCTATCTCTCTCTCTCTCTCCCTCCTAGTCCTACACACTGAGTCACGGTGTTTACCTAATTTATTGTGTATATAACGGTTTAAGATATAACAAAATGCTAGCGAGTTTTTTCGTCTAGTTTATCTGCATGGCATGTTAGTGAACTGGTTGACAAGTGGGGTGGGTGATAGACGACTGTACTTGAGTAAACAAAGTAGATCTTTGTCAGTAGCGAATAACAATTTAATATACACATGTATTTGTCATTTTATAGTTTGTGTCGAGTGGACGTTAAACCCCATAGCTCCCTCTCCCTCTCTCTCTCTCTCTCTCTCTCTCTCTCTCTCTCATTTTATTTCATTGTTTACTATTTGTTTTTACTACCAATCAGATCGCGAACAACATATCGAGTTATTTACCCATCAATTAAACAAACTACAACATGCTGAAGTGTATGACACGTGGCACCAGACACAAGACATTGATAAGAAACAACATGACCACCGTCGTCACGTGGTTTACGTCGGCGCTGCTGGCATTGGAAAGACGAGGCTTCTAGATCATTTTACCGTTCTTGCTGCCGAACAAAATGTTAGGTATGTATATGTATTATGCAATCTGATTAAAACACAGCTCTTATTTCGTTTCGTTTTTTATAGTTCACAATTTTGTCTTTGTCTTCACAACACTAGGATTTGGAAGAGTTGTGATATAACAGCCAATGAAGTGGTCTGTTACGGCGTGTTCTTGGCGTGCGCTGCACAGAACTTTGGGTAAACCCCTAGAAACGCCAACGCTGATTGATTAATCAATGTCTGACGTCATAGGGTCAAAAGTCTCTCATATAACCCCTGAAGCGACCTCCCACTACAACTGTTTAAATCTTAATGTAGTGTAGACCAACGAAAATATTAAAAACGAAAGGAAATATAGATGTGTATTGTAATCAGATTGGTGTATTATATCTTCTTGATGGGCTGATCTCCACAGAGGGATGTTGGATGGCTGAATGGTTAGATCACAAGGTTTGTCATTGAGTCAAGTGGCCTGGGTTGTCCCCAGGTCACCCGGAAGACTCTTACACGCAAGCGAATTATTTGTATAATATTGAACCATATGTTAGTCTAGAAAGGCCATTAAACTCTTTCTCTCTCTTTCTCTCCCCTCTCCATCCTCCCCCCTCTCTCTCTCTCTTTCTGGTTTCCACGGGTAACAGGTGTGATGCAAAAGGTAGATCATGCTTAACCCAATGGTACCAATTACCTGGTTGGATTGTTGTGTTTATATGATCCAGGGGTTTGTTAAAATTCGATTTGTAAAGTAAACATTATGCTAGCCATATAAATTCCCAAGGAATGGGGTCCACAGTCCGATTAATTTTGCCTGGATAACGTCACTTCCCTCTACTATTCTTAAAATCCTACTACCAAGGGTTCGTGTACGTGGATGTCAGTTTGTAAAGCGTTTATAAGTTCGTACTTTGTTTTATTTTATTATCTCAGGTTTCTATGTGATTCGAATCAATAGACGACACCATCCTTGTCAATCTATGACCACTTCTGGCACATGGTCAAAAGCAAATGACCTCACTGTTTCATTCCGTTAGTGGAAGTGGCACCAGGCCCCGAGTTCACTAAGCATTCTCAGACTTAAGTTGAGAATTTGCTCATCTTCCAATCACTGTTTATGAGAAATATCTTTGATCCAGAAACACAAAACTTTCTTATTGACGTATTTAATACATTAAAACAACAAAAGTTTTATAAAGGCCTATATTTAAATTAGGTTAGGCGAATAATTTTGAGTAAATTCTTAAGTTAAAGTTGCAATTTCATATTTTTAAGTTATATTTTAAAAATGTATTAAAATACAGTCTTAAAATAGATGATATCTATAAACAGTCCTACCTTGTTAAAAAATAATCCTATAATTCACTATTGCCAGTTGAGAAATTGGCAAAAATATCATTTTCAACTTCAAATTCAAACGTTTGAAGATAGCTATTCCATGGGGGGGGGGGGGGAATAGAAAAACAAGGGAGGTAATTGCGTTATTATTCCGGGGTCAAGGATTTATAAGTGGGAAAATGATACCTATGATCGTATGATAGTGAGTTGACAATCTATTGAGCAAAAGACAGAAATAATTATGTTTTGACTTTCTTAGAAAATATGAAATTGTCGCTTTAAGTCTGTTTTGTGAACTCGAGGCCATGTCGTACAGGAAGAATGAGCATATCCCACCTTGTACACGACACCTATCGGTACTGCTATATGTCTTACAGGAAGGATGGGCATATCACATCTTCTCTATTGTACACGATTTCTATCAGTACTGATATGTTAAATGGAGAAAGTCGAGTTTGATAAACCTAGATAAATCAGGGGCATGGTGACTCATAACTTTGAATGAAACAAGATTCCCCCCCCCAAAAAAAACCAAAAACAAAACAAACAATATTTATATGTGTGTGCGGGGAAGGGGGACGGGGATCTCTCCCAGTGCCGTCGAGTAATATTGGGCTGTGTGGAACATGCTAGAGTCGGTTTGTAGCATTTGTAGCATATGTGTATGCGGGGAAGGGTGCGGGGAAGTAATACTGGGCTGTGTGGATCATGCTATAGAGTCTATTTGTAGCATATCTGACCCACGATATATGTTTGACACTGGTTGAGCATTATGATAAAGATAATAATGTTGAAAACCGCCTGATTTTTACTATTTTACTATTTACTACTCAAAACCATGACGAAAAGCGCGTCATTGTGTCCTGATCACTTGGCCCCTGAAACAAATCAACACTTACTACATTCATCTTACTTTCAGATGCCTATCGTTTGACCTGACGACCAGTGACATCAACAAAAGTCACTTCCTGGCCCGCCATATTTTGAAAGTATTACTGGTGACGTCAGGATTCTCACAGGAAGTTGATTCGGAGCCTCTTTTATTGGAGAATCTACGACATCATAAGCTGATTGGATATCTTCACTCATTCTCCGATGTTATTGGAGTTAAGGTAAACAAATCAAATGGGGTTTAACGTCCTACTGTTCTGCTCTGACTTGGCTGATGAAGACAGACATACGTCATACAGTGTGCTATGAGGGAATCATTGATTCGATTTACCTGTATTATCAATGGTTCGATTTACCTGTATTATCAATGGTTCGATTTACCTGTATTATCAATGGTTCGATTTACCTGTGTTATCATTGATTCGATTTACCTGTATTATCATTTACATGTATTATTATTGATTAGACTTACCTGTGTTGTTATTGATCCAATTTACCTGTATTATCATTGATTCGATGTATCTGTATTATCAATGAATAGATTTACCTGTGTTATCATTGATTCGATTTACCTGTATTATCATTGATTCGATTTACCTGTATTGATTCGATTTACCTGTATTATCATTGATTAGATTTACCTGTGTTATTATTGATTCGATTTACCTGTATTATCATTATTCAGTTAAAATCCCCGGACAATATGACTTTATTGATGATAGGTGAGAAAGAATCTAAAGATAAAAGATATGAAATTTACAAGATGCTAGTGCAAAGTGTAAGTATAAACTAGTTGCTATCCCTAATAAGAGTTACTAAGCCTTAATAAGAGTTACTAAGTCCTAATAAGAGTTACTAACTCCCAAGTAAAAGTTACTAACTTACAAGTAAAAGTGACTATCTTACAAGTAAAAGTGACTATCTCCTAATATGAGTTGCTGTCTCCTAATTAGGAACTACTATCTCCTAATTAGGACTTTCAATCACCCAATTAATACTTATTATCCAGTAGCGGATTATCAGTGAGGCTTGTCTGATACGATTAAAAACGCATAGGCAATGAATGTTATGGGGGTGGGGTTTAGGCCCAACGGGAATCAACATAGGTCCTGACCCGAAATTAATTAGGCCCACGCCATTTTAAATAGGCCCTATTGTTTGGAGATCTAATCTTATTTTTTAAACGTAGGCCTACAATGTACGTTAAATCCTTGTAAGTTTTCGGTTATGTTTTGCTTAATATATTGTATCCACGTGACGTCATTTATGGGCATATAAAGTTACATTACGATTTTAATGTTAGCAACTACCTTGGCTCTAACTTTAAAAACTAAATAGACTCTCCAGCAACTGCCGCTTCAGGTCTTGGTGGAGCTTAATCCGCCACTGTTATTATCTCCTAATTAGGACCTACTGTCTCCTAATTAGGACTTTCTATCACCCAATTAATCCTTATTATCTCCTAATTAGGACACACTATCGCCTAATAAGGACTTAATCAGAATTTGTATTTGGCCCTAATACGCTTCCCGGAATTAGCTTTTAAAAAAAATTACGCTGACATTACAAAGATGGTTACTATCTGCTAAATAGAGTGACTATCTCCTAAATTCTATTTGGCCCTGATACGCTTCCGTGGAATTAGCTTTAAAAAAGTGTACACTGGCATTATAAAGATGATTATATCCGCTTTATTTCTCATTTCAGTGTCTAGAAAATGTAGGACACTAAATCCCCTTTCATTCTATATATTACATAATAAAGATGGGATGTTGCGTTAAACCCCATTTCATCTCATTTTATAAAGATGATTGTATTCACGCGGGGGATTGGATGTCCCTGTCCAACCTCGTGGGTTTTCTCCTGGTCCTCCGGTTATCTACTACTTCTAAAGACCTCTACGCGCAAGCCAATTATTGAAATAAAATTGAACCATATGTTAGTCCCGAAATATGTTTCTCTCTATCTCTCCCTCTCTCTCTCTCTCTCTCTCTCTCTCTCTCTCTCTCTCTCACACGTTGTTTTTTATTGCAGTGTCTGGATAAATTGGGACCAACTGTATTTATATTGGACGATATGCGAAGCTGTGACATCATGTCTTGGGATTATCTCTATGCCCTATCAGACTGTCCATTAGCCCTCATAGTTCTAGGCGTCCGTCCTAAATCCATTGATGAACCGTCCTGTCCGGCAGCCCAGATGTTTTTTGAGAGAGGTGATACTGTAACAATGGATGTGGAGAATATTGACCAGAGATTTATGACGGCTCTAGCTTGTCAAATTCTGGATGTTAGTCGACTCCATAGAGATATTGACAGGTACGTGAATAATATATACGCTATTTCCTGTCGCACGTAGTGCGGTGATTAGGTGGTGTGAAGGCCTGAAGCGAAGCACCGTAGGGGCGTGATTGGGTGGTCTGAAGGCTTGAATCGATGCACTTTGACGGTTCGGGTGGTCGGGAGACCTGAAGCTATGCACCATGTAAAAAATAATCTTTAATTCCATTCGCAGTGTCGGTATAGGGTGGCCGGATGGGTTCAAACGGTGTACGTGACACCTACTTATCCTTCAATTTCCTCATATGTGAGTCCCCAAGTAGACACTGGGTTGGGTGGTCTAGGCAAGTGACGTGATTTTGACCCGACGCATGTACCTGACTAATGTAACACTATCTTAGTGATAACAGAGATCAGTTTAGTAAATACATGTATAGGATTTATTTACATCGGCCTCTGCCAAGGCCAAGGCAGCTCCTGAACTCGGGTGAGTCCATCCGCCGGTCTCTGCTTTTGCTCTCGTCTGCGTCTCTCCTCCTCTCCTCTCGTTCCCAGTCGTCTGCCTAACTATCAGCAAACTCCTGATTATATAGCGAAAAGGGAAAATAGATAAGACTCATGATCATATATGGAATTGACTTCTTATCACTTCATGGTATGACAGATCATGTGTACACAGATGATGTGTAACTTGTAAATGACATATGGGATTAATTACATGTTTAATAAGATCATAGTCAGTCCGTGCCTTAACAAAAGTTTATATAGAGTTGAAAAGTCAATATCATATATTATCAAAAACCAGCTGAGGTTATAAAGTTCTAAGCACCTAAATGATCGTTCAGTTTGATGAAAGTTATAGAGTACTTTGTTACAAAAAGAGTAGGACACCTGTCCAACCTCGTGAGGTTTTGCCTGGTTTCCTCCTACTGCTAGCAAGCGAATGATTAAAATCGAATTGTACCATAGTATTTTAGGCCCGAGATGACATAGTTTGTATCGGGTTAAAGCTGAACCCTGATTACAAAACTACAGAAATAATTAAATGAAAAATATGTTAACGCCCAAAATAATCGCCATACTTGTTTTCAATCTGTAGAACAAACATGGCGTACGGCGTACAAAAACACGCCCACATAGGGGGTTGGGATGGCCTAGTGGTCTAGAGTGCCGCGCTTCGACCTCTAGCTGGTCGGTCACCTATGGCTTGCGGTTGTGGTTTCGATCCCTGGTGTGAGCGTATGTGGTTTGGAGATAGGGGCGCCTTCTCAACCTCGTGGGTTTACTCCGAGTAATCTGGTTTCTTCCCACAGGAAAGACCCCCGCGCGTGCGCTGAGATAATAATAATAATAAAAAGAAAAGAGTTGTTTGCGAATGGTTAGCAGGTGCGCGCTGTATCATAAGGTCTGTCATTGAGTCAACTGGCGTGGTTTCGAATTCCCGCCATGTTTTTTCTACAAATTGAAAACAGATATGGCGATTGTTTAAGGCGTTAACCGTTTTTTAAAATTATTATTTCTGTAGTTTTGTAATCAGAGTTCAGCTTTAACCCCATGTCTCCCTTTCTTTCTCCCCATAAAGTTTAAATATAATATATATTTTATTCCTGGGATGATCTAGTTGTGTTTATGAACTTTTAAACATATTTTGTTCTCGCTACTTGCTAGTTTGGTGCGAAAGTTAAGTCACGGTATCCCATCGTGGACAGAACAACTGCTTTTGGCTATGTACGAGAAGAAACAGCTTTTAATTGTTATTAATGATGGGAAACAAAGTCTTGGACAATCTACCGTCTCGCCACAGACCATCTTTATAACAAAAAAACCTACAAAAGAAAGACGATCATCGAGAGTGGACAGAAGGAAACAGAGCCTTGTGTTTGATACAAGTGTAAGTTTATCTTTATAGTCAACCCATCGATCCCTGCATTGGCCGAGAAAGTTCCTCCAGATTTTCTGGCGTGGTTCCCCCTTGTCAGTGATGCAGGACGAAGGGCCTGGCAAAGACAGCTGTCTAGTCCTTCGGATGAGACAAAAAAAACGAGGTCCCGTGTATTCATTTGGAATGCACGTAAATGATCCCTTGCCAGTTGGAATTCGATATAAGAGTAGGCGATAGTGCTGCTGCCCGGGCAAAAATTTCCCTCATACCACACTGTATGGCGTATGCCCGTCTTCATTAACCCAGCATAGGAGCAGAACAGTAGGACGTTAAACCCCATTTCATTTCATTTCATTTTTTATATTCAACCCGTAGTAAATTTCATCATCTACGGCAGTAGTTGGGTCAACCTGGGAAATTAAGGCATCGTGAGCATCACAAGCATCACAAGTCATCCCAAGAGTAGCACAGTCATAAACAACCCACTTCCACTGTATCATCTAAGAAATCGCCGCGACCAGTGGAAGCAAAATATCTGCAGCATCTTCAGTGTCATCAACGATTTCCCTAGCACAATATTTAGTATCCCAGTAATTATCATATCCTATTATATAACAAATCATTAGAGCAGCAGTATCTTTATTCTCATTACCAATCCCACATCGACATTATCACCAACGCATCTCACCTTCAGCAGGCCTGGAACTAACGGTTTTAGGTGTCCCTGACAAAATGTCAGGCACTAATGAAATAATACCTGACATTTTCAACTTAGTACCAGACATTTATTAATAATATCAATAAAAAAGACAAATCAGTGCCGCACAAAATGACAGGCACCAGAGGTGTAGCGCCTGACAAAGCCTAAATCTGTGCCTGACATTGTCTGTGACCGGTTCCTTATTTCCAGGCTTGACCGTCAGCATCGTAACCGACTGTTTTCAGCATCTTCATTATCATCTTCAACACATGTATTACCAAATGTGTGGCATCATCTTATTAAACAGTAGCATTGGGGACATCCTATCACAAACAGAATCAGTCCGTGTTATCTTTAATTTAATCATAAGCACCAGATCACTTCTATTGAGGTCCACAGCTTGCATTATTCTTTTTAGCTTCAAACATCGAATGCTGAAGCTGGTACTGAGTTTGCTGGGGAGATGTTGGCTTGTCTTGGTTACATCCCAAACAAACCTGGAGCTTTAGTTAAATCATCAACCAATCTGAACGTGAATAATAAACGTGTGGCAATCCTGGCAGATGGCGTCAGAATAAAGGATTTAGGAATTCCATCATCTATGTCAAGTAAATGATGTTCATTAAATTCAAGGGTTGTCTTTTCCATTTTTCACAAATTATATGTTTTCAGTAGCCCCAATTCCCTGTCCTCGTCACCCTGGGAACATGGCCGTGATAAAAAAAAATGGCCGAGCCTATGGGTCTCTAAAAGAATCAAGACATGATATTTCACGTCGATTTTATAGGTTTCAGTCCACAACCTGATTCGTCATTCTGTATGATCAGCAGTATCTTGTGGAAGCAGCGTGTTGGATCCCTGCATTGGCTGAGAAAGTTCATCGGGATTTTCTGACGTGGTTTCCCTTCACAGTGGCGCAGGACGGAGGGTCTGACAAGCACAGCTGTCTAGTCGTTCGGATGGTACGCTAAACCGAGACAAAATTTCCCTTGTAGCACACTGTATGACACCACATACAATCAGATTAAAACACAGATCCTATTTCGTTTCGGTTTTTATAGTTCAAAATGTCGTTTTACTTGTCTTTACTACACTAGGATCTAGACGAGTTGTTATATAACATGCGTTCTGGTTGATGTGAGGGATTAGCCAATGAAAGGGTCTGTTACGGCGAGTTTTTGGCGTGAGGTGCACAGAACTTTGGGTAAACCACTAGAAACGTCAACGCTGATTGATTAATCAATGTCTAACGTCATAAGGTCAAAAGCCGCTTGTATGACCCCTAACACGACCTTCCACTACAACCAGTCAGATCTTCATGTAGTAGAGGCCATCGAAAGTATACAAAAAAACAAAACGAATATAGATCTGTATTTTAATCTGATTGGGGCAGATCACTATATATTTAAAATAGAAACACCAGTAAGTCTCTTTATAAGGAAAGTAAATGACAGTCAAAGGGAAGTAACTGTATTTTAATCAGATGGCATCACATAAAACACTGACTTAAAGTTTTGGTTTCAGATATGGTAGTAGAGAGACTTGATTCCATGAGGTCATTGGATCAGTTAATCATCAAATGTTCTGCTGTTATTGGTCAACCCTTGTCACGCGAGATAATCAAAGCCGTACTCCCAAAGGCAAACATGTTTAAGATCAAGATGTCTTTAAAACGATTATTTAAAAATGGGACGTTTCAGTGTGCTACGATTAGTTTAATGATGGATCGTACACAGAAGAAATGTTGGTGCCCCAGAAATCAAAAAGAGTTGGAGGAGCCCGGTGGCGTGGTTTGTAACCATTTTGGTTTCAGAAACATTTTGTTACAAGAAACAGCTTACAACACATTGATGTCGACCCAGAGAACTGAACTTCATCTTAAGACTACTAAATATCTTCTGGAAACTATCGAGAGCAGCAGACAGTATCTTCCATTGTATCTCTATTCCACCAATCTTGTAAAGTTGGACGAACAGTTTCATGTTAATGGTATGCATTATTCCTCTAATCTTCCAAACCTGGAGGGGGGTTGGATGGCTGAATGGTTAGCGTGCGCGCGCTGTATCTAAAAGTCTGTCATTGAGTCGACTGTCGTGGTTATGAATCCACGGTTGTACATGAAAAGGAGTAGGGTCGCCTGTCCAACCTCGTGGGTTTTCTCCGGGTCCTCCGGTTTCCTCCCACTGCTAAAGACCCCTATGCGCAAGTGAATTATTGAAATAAAATTAAACCATATGTTGTCCCGAAATGACCTAATTGTGTCGAGTGGACGTTAAACCCCATTTCTCTCTCTCTCTCTCTCCAAACCTGGACGAACAACTTCCTGTTGATGGAGAACATTATTTCTCCGAGCCCCCCAAACTGGACGAACATGTAGATGGCAAGCATTATTCCATCAATCTTCCAAAGCTGACGAAGAACTCCGTGTTGATGTTATGTATTATTCCTCCAAAGCTTGACGAACAGCTTCATATTGATGGTGTGTTTTATACCGCCGGTCTTCCAAAGCTGGACGAGAGGGTGGGTGATGGCGAATGGTTAGCGCGTGAGCGCTGTATCATAAGATCTGTCATTGGGTCAACTGGCGTGGTTTCGATTCCCCGGTTGTACGTGACAAGGAGTAGGGTCGCCTGTCCAACCGCGTGGATTTTCTCCGGGTCCTCCGGTTTCCTCCTACTGCTAAAGACCTCTACGCACAAGCGCATTATGTAAATAAAATTGAACCATATGTTAGTCCCGAAATGACCTAGTTTGTGTCGACTGGACGTTAAACCCTATTTCTGTCTCTCTCCAAAGCTGGACGAACAGCTTTATGGTTATGGTATGTATTATTCTTCCAATCTCCCAAAGGTGGACCGTGTTCCTTCTACCATATCTTGTAACCAACTGAAACATTTTTGACAAACCTATAACACAGTACTCTTCATCGTTCCCACACAGGAAGAAACAAAATATTGAAGTAAAACGTCTATTTTTATTTTTGTGAAGGTAACATGGATGAACGCAAGAAGAACTTAAGGGTTAAAGATGTGTTGCAAGATATATCAAAGTCTGGGTGAGTTATAACTAGCATTGTTTTAATCATACCTCAAAGATACCGAAATAAAATGGAGTTTTACGTCCTGATGTTCTGCTCCGACTGCAACAGACTGTTTCATTGGCTAATCCCTCACACCAAGCAAAACGCGGATTATATAACAACTCTTTCAGATGCTAATGTAGTACAGACAAGTAAAACGAAAATTCAAACTATAAAAAACGAAAAAAAATTGGACCTGTGTTTTAATTAGATTGCATGAAAATGTACGTTAATTGAAAAATTAAAACCAAGCTATTATCGGTAGATAATCTTCCGTTAGCAAGGGATTAAAACTCCAACAAATGATGGGAAGTAGATAGAGAGCCATGGTTGTCAGTGTTGATGTCCGCGTAAGTGTCCGTCCGCGAAACGAAATAGGATCAGCGTTGAATCAGATTGATCTAAATGCTACAGAACGAAGCTTTAAATTTCAGAAATAACGTGGCTAAATGGGTAAGACGCTGGCTCGCTAGCCTGGAGGTCGGGTGTTCAATCCCTGCATTGGCCGAGAAAGTTCATCCAGATTTTCCTTCGTGGTTTCCCCTTGTTAGTGATGCAGGACGGAGGGCCTGACAAGGACAGCTGCCTAGTCCTTCGGATGAGACGAAAAACCGAGGTCCTGTGTATACATTGGAATGCACGTAAAAGATCCCTTGGCAGTTGGAATTCGATATAAGAGTAGGCGATAGTGCCGCTGCCCGGGCAAAATTTCCCTCATAGCACACTGTATGGCGTATGCCCGTCTTCATTAGCCCAGTATAGGAGCAGAACAGTAGGACGTTAAACCCCATTTCATTTCATTTCCTTTAAATTTCAGAAACATGGATTCATACCTCCACCATCTCAACTCAACTTGTGAAGCAAATCGTCAGAAAGATCTTCTCGTCATGATACCAGTTTATAAACGAGTCAAATATCATCTGGAAGCTGCTGGCGAGTTCCGTCATGTGGTAGACACATTGATAGAAGCTGCATCAGTAGCTGTCGTTCTCGAGAAGTCGTCTGTTGTAAGATTTCTTCATATATTGTTTTCTTCGATTTCACATTGACCGGATATGTGAAATGAAATGAAATGGGGTTTAACGTCCTACTGTTCTGCTCCGACTGGGTTAATGAAGATGGGCATACACCATACAGTGCACTGTGAGGGAAATTGTGCCTGGGCAGCGGCACTATGACCTACTCTTATATCGAATTCCAACTGTCAAGGGATCTTTTATGTGCACGCCAATGTATACACGGGACTTGCTTTTTGTCCCATCCGAATGACTAGAGAGCTGTCTTTGCCAGACCCTCCATCCTGCACTACTGCAAAGGGGAAACCTTGCAGGGATGGAACACGCCACCTCCAGGCTAGTGAGCCAACGTCCCTCCGTAGCCCCCGGCCGAAAATAAGCCTGAAATTTTATTTTTTAAAAGGATATCAATTATACAAAAGAACAGAAGAACGGAACCGAGAAGAACTCGTTAGATTTTATCTGTCGGGTAAGACCTGATCAGGAACATTAGGTCATACACATAAAGGAAGAGTCCCGTTGTTTTGGCAAAATTCCCATCGCCTAACATTGCACACAGGAGTCATAGAAAATTGTCTCAAATTGGTCTCATTTCTTTACATCGAGGCGATGCGTCTTTGACTCTTTTAAAAATTGTTAATGATGCATGACGCAATCTGATTACATTACGGAAAGCACTTCAACACCCATTGACCACGTGATAATATAATTGGATTGTTAATGACGCAATCTGATTACATTACGGAAAGCACTTCAACAACTATTGACCTCGTCATGATATAATTAGATTGTTAATGATGAAGTTTTATATGAAACGTATTATATTTATGTTGTAGGCTTTACGTTTCCTTGATGAAGCCAAATCTGCTGTAGCAACACTCTGTGGTAAAGATGCTGAGTTCCAGGACACCCTGGCCAAATATACGGAAGCTTGTATCGAGAGACTTAGAGGAAAGGTACTCCCTCTTGATCACTATTTGTATTTAGCTGTGGCATTGGGGTATTTTTTTAGTGTTGTTTAATGGTTTTAAATATCATCATCATTAGTGACTGTTTTTATACGAACATTTGGAAATCGATTTGTGGTTGGAATTTCATTTCTATTTCTCATTGAATCGTCTGGCGTGGTTTCGAATCCCAGGTTGTACGTGGCAAGGAAAAGGGTCGCCTGTCCAACCTCGTGGGTTTTCTCCGGGTCCTCCGGTTTCCTCCCACTGCTAAAGACCCCTACGCGCAAGCGAATTATGTAAATAAAATTAAAAACCATATGTTAGTCCCGAAATGACCTAGTTTGTGTCGAGTGGACGTTAAACCCCATTTCTCTCTCTCTCTCATTTCTATTTCCATGTATCCGAGAATGTGTTGGATGGCTACATTTTGGGTTACACGTGTGTATCATCAGGCTGTAACGTTATATTTGTGGTTACACGTGTATATTGTAAGGTTGTAACGCTATATGTTTAGTTACACGTGTTTATAGCGTTACTCGTGTATATCAAAAGGCTGTAACGCTATATTTTTGGTTACACGTGTATAATCATAACGCTGTAACGCTATATATTTGGTTACACGTGTATATCATAAGGTTGTAACGCTATATGTTTGGTTACACGTGTGCATAGTGTTACTCGTGTATATCATAAGGCTGTGACGCTATATTTTTGGTTACACGTGTATAATCATAATGCTGTAACGCTATATTTTTGGTTACACGTGTATAATCATAATGCTGTAACGCTATATTTTTGGTTACACGTGTATATCATAACGCTGTAGCGCTATGTTTTTGGTTACACGTGTATATCACAAGACTAATATTGTGTATACTTGTTCAGGCGATGTTTTTATCGGGTCGACTTGAAGAAGCCTACCGCCATCTTCGTAAAGCAGGTTCTATACTAGGCTTATATCAACCCACAGCAAAATGGCAGATCAACATTCAGATGATAAAACTACAATTTTCAACATTTCCTTCTTCTACATTATTAAAATCTTTTGAGCAATACGACCATATTAGGTAAGTTACTGTCTTTACCTATAGAGCCTAAGGAATATGACCATATCAAGTCAGTTCCGTAATTGACATCTTCGCGCGTTCAGTTATAAGATCTTGCATTGAGTCAGCTGGCGTGGTTTTGATTCCACGGTTGTACGTGACAAGGAGTAGGGTCACTTATCCAATCTCGTGGGTTTTCTCCGTGTCCTCTGGTTTCCTCCCACTGCTAAAGACCCCTACGCACAAGCGAATTATTGAAGTAAAATTGAACCATATGTTAGTCCCGAAATGACCTAGTTTGTGTCGAACGGATGTTAAACCCCATTTCTTTCACGTACAACCGGGGAATCAAAACCACGCCAGTTGACCCAATGACAGACCTTATACAGACCTTATGATACAACACACCTGCGCTAACCATTCGGCCATCCAACCCCATGGACAGTAAAGGACTCTTTCAAAGATTTAACAAGCAATCAGGCTTTACCTGTATCCTAGAAACCGGGATGCGTCGCGCTTTGGGCATAGCCCTTAGTAGCGTGGCTAAAATGCTGTATAAATCTACACATTAAAGGGACAATAACACTCTTGCTGGCTTGAAAGCTCCAGAAAATAAATAATATCTCTATCTAAGTACTAGATGTTTAAGTGTCCTACCTGTTGTGTAAATTATCCATTACATCCTATTTTACTTGTCCAGAGGGTTCGAAAATATTTTTAAATCAAAGTTTCATTTGAAAAGGTTTACGTTAGACGTTTCAAACCATTATGTTGAATTTTTCAAAATTGTTAAATAAGGTGTGTTAAGATGAAATTTGAAAAATCAATTAATTGAAATATTCTAAAATAATACAATTTGTTGACCAGAATAAAGATTGGGACATATTATTCAGTTACAACAAGAGTGGTATTGAGCCTTTAAAGGAGTATTATGGAAGATTTGATAAAGAGCTGGCAGTTCTCACTATAATAGTTAAATACTAGATAATGTAAAGGGAATACGCTGACAATTCCAGTCAAATTACTCCACACTGAACCGAGATATTAGCGATTGAATTTTAGACCTAGCCTCGATTATCATTACTAAAGTCGATACGATAAAAAATATATTAACAAGTTTCTTTTCCAGTACCATAAACAGACGATTAGTGGAAGCGGGAAACTGTCTGTCAGATCTGTGTCGACTTCATAAAGAACAGGAAAACCACACCTTACTTCTGTTTGATTCTCGTCGACTGGCTAACCTTTATCAGCACACTCTGCCTCATCCACAACAGCTACTAGAATCTTTCATCCATTTAATAGATTACTGTAGAATTAGAAGATGGACGGAGGCTTGTCATCGACTGGAATTAGAACTTTTTGCCACGTAAGTTTCCTTTATTAAAGTATACTGACAGCTGTGGTGGTGGTCGTGCGCAGGAAAGAGTATGCCTAATCTCTTTTAAACCTTTTTTTGCCATGGGTGCGCCAAATGCTTTGGCTCCTTTCCCTTATGGAGCAATTTGCAACTATTGTCGACACTCCATTCCAAACATCGCCAAGGTTGAAGGAAGTGGCAACAAACTTTGTCTTTGTCTGTAAGCTGTATTCAAATGAATCAATGACCTTGTCCTATTGGAGGTGTTCGCCCTACTCCTTGTCACGTATAACCTGGGAATCAAAACCACGCCAGTTGACTCAATGACAGACCTTATGATACAGCCCCCACGCGCTAACCATTCGGACATCCAACCCCGCGATTTACAAAAAAAACCCAACATTATTTAAGGCGCTAAATCGCTAATATTTGGGGCCTAGAAATTGACACAAATGAGTAGCAACGCATATAATAATGTAATATGAATGTATATAAACTGATTTACATTCAATCGCTTCCGTTTTTACTCTAATTTCAAATCAGTTATGTTCGTCAAAATCCGCCAGAAGTCTCAGTCCAGTAGTAATCACTAGCGTCTGGTTATTCCAGTCTAGTGCGCTTGGCATGACCTATGGAATCTCTAGTCTCGTTCTTTCTTGCCCCTTGTTAAAAATGACACTGAAAGGCATTATGGTACACGATTCGTGTACCAATGGTAAAATATTTATTTTGTCTTAAATATTGGATATCAGAAGCCCATCTTTTCCCGGTAAGGTCACAACATCAATGTTGATATAAATTGACAAATAATTTGTGTTTTTAATGTGAAGATTTTGGATGATTTTGAGTTGGAGACTTAGCTACTTTAAGCATGGCCGCTTGTCGGTTTATGTTTTATATATATTTACAAGAGACAACATGGTCACTGTTTATGTTTTTATGTTTTCCAGTTGTGTTTCTCTATCACGTTATTTGTCCTCTGAAGATATTCGACTTTTAGCCAAGACATTCTGTCATGGTGCCTCTTGCTGTGTTGATAATGGTGCTGTTGTGAAAGCAATTAACATAGGTGATAATATATTTTGTTATTGGAACCAGAGTCGGTTTGAAACTGAAAAGATAATGGTGTCCCGATATATATGTATATAGAAAGTGTAGGATGACCGCACCACACACGAACAAAACTACGGTCAAGGCATATATTAAACATACATTATACAAGCGCTAAATCTGCCTATTGCAGGTCTTGCTTTAGGCCTGAAATGATATCTAAATCATTAATTAGACATTTATTACTCTTGATGCCATCTCTAGCCTGCGATATTTAGGGATTCGATTACATTTTTTGAAAAATAATTATACATAACAATGGATAATCGAGACTGTTTTTGATCGTACCGACTTTAGTAAGGATGATCGAGGCTAGCCTAAAATTCAAATGCTGATGTCTCGGTTCAGAGTGGAGCAATTTGACTGACAATTACAGCATTCTATTTCCATCATCTATTTATTAACTATTATAGCGAGAATTGTTAACTCTCTATCTAATCTCCTATAATGTCCCTTTATTATACACTGACGTTGCACATAATTTTTTCTACCTGGTAATCAGATTAAAACACAGTATTTCGTTTCGTTTTTGATAGTTCAAAATTTCGCTTTACTTGTCTTTACTACACTAGGATCTGGAAGAGTTGTTATATAACACGCGTTCTGGATGATGTGATGGATTAGCCAATGAAACGGTCTGTTACGGCGAGATTTTGGCGTGAGGTGCACGGAACTGTGGGTAACCCACTAGAAACATGAATGCTGATTGGTTAATCAAATGTCCGACGCCATAGGGTCAAAAGCCGCTCGTATAACCCCGGTCGCAACCTTTCACTACAACTGGTCAAATCTTCATGTAGTGTAGGCCATCGAAAGTATAAAAAAAACGAAACGAAATATAGATCTGTATTTTAACTAGATTATCTACCTGGCTACCTGTTCCACTCATCCCTTTCTGGACCCATTCCTTTGATGTTTATGATTATTGCTAAACAAACTATTTGTTTATTCATTCAGGCTGTGTTTCTTTAAGTCTTGCTAGAAATCTCGAAGATTTTCAGTTGTGTATGAAAGTTCTACCATTGTTAATTCTAGCTTGTATCTTAAACGACAGGTAGGTCAATAAAAATACGATTTTGATGAGCCCCCAATTTCCTTCAGGGCTCACCATTATAGAATTGTCTTACCTTTCTCCATCGATTGAGCTAATGGCCCTTGAAATCCCTCTTTATGTGGGATTAGGTCTAATAAAACAAAAAACTGCGAGAGGTGTTCCAACCGTCAAGCGAACGACATAGTTTGCTGTATATTTGTATTGTGTGGGTGTGTGTGTGGGGGGGGGGGGGGAGGGGGCAAATGATTAAACGCATGTGCGTTGTATCGTAAGGTCTGACATTTAGTCAACTGGCGTGGTTTTAATTTCCCAGTTGTACGTGACAAGGAGTAGGATCGATTGTCCAACCTCGTGGGGTTTTTCCGGGTCCTCTGGGTTCCTCCCACTGCTAAAGACCCCTACGCACAATCAAATTATTGAAATAAAACTGAACAATATGTTCAGCGACCTAGTTTGTGTTGAGTGGACGTTATGTATATTTGTATTATGTATATATTTCTGTATATTCGACGTATATTTGCAGGATAAATGAGGCTATAGAATATTTACTGGAATTGAAAGATCTTTCTGGTAATCATAATTCTAGATGTGGTCGAGCCTGGTATTTTATACTAGCCATGGAACTAATGCTTGTATCATGTAAGTTGTTTTATGCTAGGCATGAAGTTAATGCTCGTGTCATGTTTAAATACTAGTCATGATTTAATGCTCGTGTCATGTTTAAATACTAGTCATGATTTAATGCTCGTGTCATGTTTAAATACTAGTCATGAGTTAATGCTCGTGTCATGTTTAAATACTAGTCATGAGTTAATGCTCGTGTCATGTTTAAATACTAGTCATGATTTAATGCTCGTGTCATGTTTAAATACTAGCCGTGGAGTATAATGCTCTTACATGTAAATTGTGTAATGCTCATGTCATGTTAGTTGTTTATATCTAAATAATATTTTTAAAAGAAATGAAATGAAAAGAAATGGGGTTTAACGCCCTACTGTTCTGCTACTATACTGGGCTAATAAAGACGGGCATACGCCATACAGTGTGCTATAAGGAAATTTTGCCCGGGCAGCGGCACTATCGCCTACTCTTATATCGAATTCCAACTGCCAAGGGATCTTTTACGTGCATTCCAATGTTTACACGGGACCTCGGTTTTTGGTCTCATCCGAAGGACTAGACAGCTGTCCTTGACAGGCCCTCTGTCCTGCATCACTGACAAGGGGAAACGACGTCGGAAAATAGGGATGAACACCCGACCTCCAGGCTAGCGAGCCAGCGCCTTAACCACCCAGCCACCGTGGCTCCCTATTTTTGAAAGACCAGGACCCTAATTCATGAGAACTATATATTTTAAGGTTGAGAGTTACTCATATTCCTGAAGCAATGGCCCGAGAAATCCCTCTCGGACTATTGACCAGACATAATTTAGAACAAGAATTTGCTTTCTTTACAGCAGTGAGTAGTGGGATTAGCTCTAATCAAACGAAACACTGCGAGGTGTATGAGAGTTACTATGCTAGTAGAAATCTTAGCAATACCTAATAATGGAAATTTATGAAGAAAGAGGCTTATTTCATGAAAATTTAAACTCAAATAATTTTAAGGTGCAGCTATTTCATTGAATGAAGAGTGCAGCTATTTCATTGGTTGAAGGGTGCAGCTATTCCATTGGTTGACAACAAATATTTTAGTTCTTGGCCAATCAAAAAAAGGATTTCTTAAAATAGGGTCATCCTATTGGACCGTTTTCCCAGTGCCAAATTAATGTCCCAATTATTTTCTAACATGAAAACTAAAAGAATTGATTAATTTACAGGCCACCCCATCGAACCGTTTTCCCAGTGTCAGATGTTTGTTTCTGTGTATCTGAGAAATTATGACGTTGTTCAAGATGAGAATATACCACGATTCTATGCCGCAATGGATATGGCTGTTTGGTAAGATTCTATGTCTGTTATAATCTTTTATATCAGGTGATGGAATTCATTTTAATATTTTATCCTTCTATATGGGGTTTTAAATGATTTGGTTATCTTAAAAATGTCACCTGTGCACTACTGACACAAACTGAAGCCGGCAACGTTTTTTACATTCGTGGCAGTCAAACCTACGCGATCGTAATATGGGATGCTGGTCTTGTAAAATATTAAATATTCTTAGTGATGTAGTCCGGAAAGGATGTAATCATGGCCGCTATCCGTGCCACAGAGCCTCCGGGCCGGTCTTAATGTCCCTTAACAGGTGTGGGATATGGCCCCCAAAATTTGTCCATCATATAAAAGTTCTCTCGGCGGTCTTGGTTGTAATGCATAGTAGCTCGGCGTATAGTGATGGTCAATTTTCCGAATTCATTGTAAATCCAAATGCAATATACATATTGCAATGCACGCAATGAAACGAAATGAAATGGGGTTTAACGTCCTACTATTCTTCTCCGACTGAGCTAATAAAGACGGCCGTACAATGTGCTATGAGTAAAATTTTGCCCGGCCAACGGCGCTACGGCCTACTCTTATATCGAATTCTAATTGCCAACGAATCTTTTACGTGCACGCCAATGTTTACACGGGACCTCGGTTTTTCGTTCCACCCGAACGGCTATATGTTGTCCCTTGCCAGGTCAAATTTTGAACAAGGGAGACATTCCTCACAACACCGGCCATGGTGAATTGACGAAATCTCGCGTTGATAAACGACATGATGGTTTATTTTTAGTGACACTGACGGGCACCGCGTGCTAGGGTTAGGGTTAGGGTTGGGTTGGGTCCAAAAATTCGGGTTTGGTCCAAAAATTCTGAAGTCATGTGCAATTCAAAGTGATTGACCCCGTGAGGAATGTCTCCCCGGCGACCAAGCTTGCCAGGTCCACTGTCTTGCACCACTGATAAGGAGGAACCTCGCTAGAAAATTCAGATGAACTTTCTCGGTCAACGCAGGGATCGAACACGGGACCTGCAGACTAGCGAGCCAATGTTTTATTTACTGAGCTAATCGTAGCTGCTTATGGCAGTGTGCAGAGAAACAGACAAGTTATCTAAATTCATAATTCTGCACCAGCCGGAGTAATGGAAACGGGTCATAATAGACAGATTAGCCTACAGATATTGGCGTGTCTGGTAAAAACAATTGACGCTCCCCTGACACGACCTTCGCTACAACCAGTCAGATCTTCATGTAGTGTAGGACATCGAAAGTATAAAAAAAACGGAACGAAATATAGATCTGTATGTTTGATGTCTATGTTTGAAATATCAGGTACTGTCAGTCGTCAGTTTGATTGAAAGAATGGCCTCTCTCTCTCTCCCTCTCTCTCTCTCTCTCTCTCTCCCTCCCTCCCTCTCTCTCTCTCTCACACACACACATCCCTACCCCCTCTCTCTGTCTTCAGGTACTGTCGACAGTGTGATTGGAAGAATGGTCAGAGATGGTTTGATTATTGGGAGAACTACCAACCAGACCAGAAGATACTTCCGGCTGCTTTAGGACGCCTGAAGAAATTGGAATGTATGCTGATCTCTTTATGGAAGGCCATAGACGCCAATATTGAACATTCCGTAAATAGAATGGAACCCGTTATTGGAAAGGTAATTCACAATCTGATTTTGTTATATATTTTGTTTCGGTTTTTGTTATACTTTCAATGGCCTCTACTAAATTTAGATCTGGGCAACTGTAGAGGAAGATCGCGTTAGAGGTCATACTAGTTGCTGGCTTTTGACCCTATGACGTCGGATATTTGATTAACCGATCAGCGTTGAGGTTTCTAGTGGGTTACCCACCGTTCTGTGCACGTCACGCCAAAAACGCACCGTAACAGACCGTTTCATTGGCTAATCCCTCACCTCAATCAGAACCCGGGTTATATAACAACTCTTCCAGATCCTAGTGTAGTAAAGACAAGTAAAACGAAATTTTGAACTATAAAAAACGAAACGAAATAGGGTCTGTGTTTTAATCAGTTCGGGCATTTCCATTCTAAAAGTCTTTTGTGTGTATATAATGATTGCCACTGATTTTCCACGTATATATTTATAAAAAGCCGGTGGTGTGTATTAGTTTGACAATACTACATGGGAAGGGGTGTTGGATGGCCGAATGGTTTGCACGTGCGTGTTGTATCATAAGGTCTGTCATTGGGGTCGCCTGTCCAACCTCGTGGGTTTTCTCCGGGTCCTCCGGTTTCCTCCCACTGCTAAAATAATGAATAATGAAACTAAACCTCATACTTTGATGCACCGGTCTGGATAACGAAGATGGGCATGCCCCAAACGGTGTTATACTATGTAAAACATTTTACCCTGAAACGGCGCTACAACTTAATCTTATATCTCATTCTAACTGTCAGGGGATCTTTAACGTGCTCACAATGAAATACACAAGACCTCGGTTTTACGTACCATCCGAACAACTGGGCGTTTTTACTTGTGAATTAATGGAGCCTAATTATTGTTTACAATTTATTACAGGAAATTTCCCAGATGAAGTCAGTCGTCAAGCAGGTGCGGGGAATACGGCCGCGATTTTACCATTTGCTTGCCTATTTTCACATGTTAAAGGGACAGAACTCTAAAGCTAAGAAATATTTGATGATGTCGATGACATGTGCCGAAAAACAGGAAAATAAACTGGACTTCAAGTGGGCCCTCAATTCGTGGACCAAGTGGATGAGACCCTCGTCAGTAAACTCACAAAAATATGACTGGAATACAATGGTTAAAATTCACTCACTAGAATGGAAACTAATATCTTCAAACTCAGAAATAATTCATCATTTTCCACTTCCAGGAAAATGTTCTTTATAGCAGGATGTCTTTCAATAAATGGTTAGCAACTGTAGCCTAATTTTACCGGGGTGGGGGTACTTTTGGTCTCCTGCATTGGCATTGTTGTGGTTTTTTTTGACGGGACAGTAAAAGGATACATTTTGTTTAAAAGCTTAAGTGTGTTATGTTTTTCAAACTCAAGAAGTTCACCTGGCTCAATAAATCCAATGGTCTGCAAACCTTGGTCAAGATGGAGATATTATTGCCGTATTACTAAATGAACGCACCGACGTCAATCGGGAAGTCAGAATAGTGCTATGACGTAGGAACAAGCAATGAGGTCATTGGGAACAAGTCTGACTGACATCGGTTATCCAGTCGACAGTTTTGACAATCTCTTGTCGTCCAATGTGGAGATAGTCGTCTCTGTGTTTGCTTAAGCCCGGATTATCCTTATTTCTTTACAATGGTCTCCGCGGAAATTTATACATGTCTTACAGTTGGTTGAAAGCAGTGGCGGCGCCAACCGTCGGTGGTTGGAGGGGCAAAGCTGGAGCAAAGTCCAAGGTTGAAAAACAGGCTGCCGGAAATGCAGCGTGGCAGTATTTCAGGCACTGATCGTTGAGGTAAAGTGTCAAACGAACGGACTTGCGAACCCCAATGAAGGCCACTCACGAGCACCAAAGTAGGGAGTGCTTACGGAGGGTATGGGGGACCTCCCCCAGAAAATTTTGAAAAAGACTGCCGTAAATGCTTTCTGACAGTATTCAGTCAGGCACCGATCGTCGAGATAAATAGATCTGACCAGATACCGCCCGTCACCTGATCACTAGTTTATCCGACCAGAGAACAAAATGTCAAACGAACGTTCTTGCGAACGAAGTCCCGGTGTGAGACTGTCGGAAATGCTCTATGACTGTGTGGGGATGTGGGATTTAATCACCGTAGAAGGTATTGATTACCGAAACGTATCACAAATACTTTTTTTTATTTTCTAAAATTATTGAGGGGGGGGGGGGCAAACAGAGGGCAGAGTTGGCAGTTCTCACTACAATAGTTAAAAACTAGATAATGTAAAGGCAATTTGCTGAAAATTTCATTCAAATTGATCCACTATGAACCGAGAACTAAGCGTTTGAAATTACCGCCTAGTCTCTATCATCATTACTAAAGTCAGTACGATAAACAGCATAGTCTCGATTATCCATTTAATCTTTAAATCGTGAAGAAAAGTTATGCAGCTCATAATCCACTTAGAGTTGATTATGGTCTTGGTAAGTTAATTAATGTGTAATTAATAATTTAGATATTTCAGGCCTAAAGAAAGACCTGCAATAGACAGATTTAGCTCTTGCATAATGTATGTTTAAGTACGAAAATCAAATGGTCGCTGTCTTTTTGAGTCTGTCTGTCGTTCAGGGCCCTGTTTCACGAAATTTTAACTAAAGATAAAATCCAAATCAATCTAATATTATCCAATCAAATTACTAAAATCTGGATTTTATATCGTTAAAATTTCGTGAAACAGGCCCCAGATTGTAGACTTCTTTATGTATAATTCCAAGTCAACCATACAATAACTTTAACCTCTAGAGAGCCCGTAAGCAACCATAGACCATGGGCGGACTGACATTACTGATGACAAAAATGACCACATTTCAATATCGGGTTGAAAAAAATGAAATGAAATGGGGTTTAACATCCTACTGTTTTGCTCCGAACTGGGCTAATGAAGACAGACATACGCCATACAATGTGCTATGAGGGAAATTTAGTCCAGACAGTGGCACTACAGCCTACTCTTATATCGAATTCCAACTGTCAAGGGATTTTTTTACGTGCACGCCAATGTGTACACGGGACCTCGGTTTTTCGTCTCATCCGAATGACTAGAAAATCTGGGTAGAAAAAAGCCAGAATTATAAGTTTTATTATTTTATTCAGTATTTACATCTGTACATGTAGAATATATATTTTAAAACACCACTTTTATCCTCTCTTACAAATATTATTAAATTTCAAATATAAATTTTATTTCTGGTTTGAAGTAACATTACACAGAAAACGATATAAGCCTGAAATATCCATGTTCCCTAGGATATATTACTTACTCTTTTTAAAGATGCATTATGTAAGATTTAGATAAAGTGCTAGAGGTTCTTGCTATAATAGTTCAAAAATAGATAATAAAAAATGAATATATTGAAAATTTCATTCAAATTACTTTATTCTGAGTGAAGTTATAAGTCTTGGAAGATGTTGCCCAGATTGTTTATTATCGTAGGAACGGTACTGGACAAACAAGACTTAGTCTCGATTAAACATTTTATCATTAACTTTATAAATCTCCCGGGTGTTCTAATCCATTTAAATCACAGCCATCTGATGATCTAGAGAGTTAATTATAGTCTTGTCATGTGAATAAATGGCTAAATAATAATCTATATATAACTAATAACAGACAGCTTTATGGATAACATTCACTTGGTTTATTAAATACAATGTTTCAATGAGGATACATTCACCGTTATCAAGCAATGCTCTTTAAATACCCTTTAAAGATAATTTATATGACATTTGAGACCAAAAAAAGGTCTGCAATAGAAGATTTAACTCCTACATAAGGCACCTTTAACCTGAATAAAGGAATTACCAGAACTTTCATAATATTGTATTTAAAGATGGGTTCCCAGAAAAGTATTTATCGGGTGGTTATTTCCAATAAAAGTATGGTAATTTTGGTATATATGGAAAGTAGAGATATCCAATTGTAACAAATAGTAAGCGATTAAAGACCGCATGTCTTATGTATGCAATGAATTCTCCTCTGACTTCCAACAGAGGAAAGTCACGTGACGTAAACATGACCTGGTTTGATCGAATTTTTATAGCAGGGCATACCTTCGCAATTACAATGTTTGAGAAGGATTTGAAGCACATGTAGATTAAAACCTTGTAATTTCCTTTTCTTTTTTTGATACAAATTAAATATTAAAAATAGATTAGTTAAGAGTTTAATAAAGAGTTGGTCATTCTTGCTATAATAATTCAAAAATAGATGATAAAAAAGAAAATATTGAAAATTTCATTCAAATTACTTCATTCTCAGCCAAATTATCACTGTTTATTGTTTTGACAAGATGTGTGCATTGTGGTAACTAGCTCACTGGTATATTCGCGACTTAGCCTCGCTTTCCCATTTTTAAATTAAATTTTTAAATGGCGAACCGTTCTAATGTAGTCAAAATCTTAAATATCTGATGCCATCGAGAGTTGATTATGGTCTGTATAAGTTAATTAATATCTAATAAATAATTTACATAACATTTCAGGCCTAAAGAAAGACCTGCAATAGACAGATTTACCTCTTGCATAATGTATGTTTAAAGGGACAATAACACTCTTGCTGGCTTGAAAGCTCCAGAAAATAAATAATATCTCTATCTAAGTACTAGATGTTTAAGTGTCCTACCTGTTGTGTAAATTATCCATTACATCCTATTTTACTTGTCCAGAGGGTTCGAAAATATTTTTAAATCGAAGTTTCATTTGAAAAGGTTTATGTTAGACGTTTCAAACCATTATGTTGAATTTTTCAAAATTTTTAAATAAGGTGTGTTAAGATGAAATTTGTATCATCAATTACATGTAATTGAAATATTCTAAAATAGTACAATTTGTTGACCAGAATAAAGATTGGGACATATTATTCAGTTACAACAAGAGTGGTATTGGGCCTTTAAGTAATTAACTAATCTATAAAATAAAGGCTAGAATATAGAGTGAATAATGGAGTACAAACACTTTTATTCTCTAAGCAATGGTTATTTGTATAATATATCAGCTCATTAACCATTGCTTTATCAGACAGCCATTATGAGTGCTGGTTTCACTTGGTGAATCAAGTTTGTTTCAAAATTATGGAATAGTAATGTATTTTTATCTTAGACTTTCCATGTTTTTGATTCCTCTTCAAGTCAATTTAGTAGTTCAATGAAAACCAATAACCACAACTGCTGCAATGGTTAAGAGCTGAAATGCTTGTAACCATTGCTTTATGGTATGTGCAATATAAAGGCCCACCAATGAATGTGACCCCCTTTATGTACACCAGACATAAAAATAAAATATACACGTCTATCGAGCCTACTAGCGAATTAAAACAGACATTTTTTAAAACCCATACCTGGATCAACTATATACAAATCACCCTGTTTATTTGGTTACAAATATCATAACATAGCCTGATACCTTTGACCGTGTTATCAAGATCAAAACCATTGTTCCAGTTAGAAGTAGGTGTTGTGTGGTTGGCTTTTATTTCTAGAACACCTGGTAACACTTCCCTCTTGTATTTGACATCATAACAGCCATGGATCACCAGAGCTGCATACTAAAATAACACATTCAAGGTGTCAGTCTAATGCAGTCAATGTATCATTCTAATGCAGTCATGGTATCAGATTAACACAGTCAATGTATCAGTCTAACACAGTCATGGTATCGGTCTAACACAGTCATGGTATCGGTCTAACACAGTCAAGGTATCCGTCTAACACAGTCAAGGTATAAGACTAACCAATCAGGGTATTAGTCTAACAAAGTCAAGGTATAAGAATAACCAATCAGGGTATTAGTCTCACACAGTTGAGATATAAGACCCACCAGTCAAGGTATCAATCTAACACAGTCAAGGTTTTAACAACAACACAGTCAAAGTGTCAGTCTAACACAGTCAAGGTATCAGACCTATGTTATAACACCATGGCATAGTGAATATGAATTAAAGTTACTACATGTATGTACATATATACAAGGCCAATCTCTAACCCCCAAAACAACCTTTTAATGTTTTCCAATTTTATATAGAAGTATAATTTATACTCCAAACATTTTACACAAAGAGTATAATTATACTCCCATAAATATTTGATGAAATACAGACAATAAATATGGTACATTCAAATGAATACAAAGTACAAATAAGTAACAAAACAAAAAACAAGTATGGTCAATTACATATCCTGATTCAGTATGATTCCCTCTAATTTAATATATTACATTTCAGAATCCCAGTTCCAAAAAACACCCCCCCCCCTCCTCCCCCCTCCCTCACACACACACACTGCTAGCGGTTACATTGTGAATTCCAGGTTCATTCCACCTCCCCCATTTTTTTATTATCTATAAATAGTGACCATGTGTCATATACAAGACAGGGTATGCTTCCCCTTTCTTGAACACTGAATGCCACTTCTTGTTTAACTGTAAGTAGTGCTGGGTGTCATATACAAGGGTGTCATATGCTTATTTATAATGGTGACTGTTTTGGGCAAGATCTGCTTACTCTTTCCAAAACATTTTTTGTTTAACTATAAGTAGAGGTGGGTGATGTGCAAGAGGCAGAGTGTGCTTACTTTCTAGAACAACTAATACCACCTATTTAGCTAAAAGTAGTGATAGGTATATATAGGACAGGTTGTGCTTATCCTTTCCAGAACACCTTATATCATTTCTTATTTGGCTATAAAGTAGTGATAGGTATCATACACGGGACAGGGTATTCTTACTCTTTTAAGAACATCTGATATCACTTGTTTAGCAATAAAGTAGTGATGACTGATGTACAAGAGGCAGGGTATGCTTACTCTCTCTAGAACATCTGGTATCACTTCTCCAAATGATGAGCTGTAACTAGTGATACTTCCTGTTAATCTATAAATAGTGATTACTAATGTGTACTAGGTAACATCTATTTACTTTGTAGACCATCTGATACCACTTCTGGTTAAGCTATAAGTAGTGAGGGTGTCATATACAAAGCAGGGTATGCTGACTTTCTATAGAACCTGCTATAATTTATCTAGGTAGTTCGAATAGTTAATAATTAATTCACCTGTACATTAGGCCTACATATATAATAGTTCTTAGCATGTGTCATGTACATGGCAGGGTATATCAACTTTTTACAACCTGATACCATCTATTTAGGTAATAATTTATATTGTATGTCTTCAATAACATGCTATACACCTGTACAGCACTACACCTGTACAGTACACTAATTACCTATACTATAATTTACCTGTACACTATAAATAATATAACTATATATACAAAATATTACTAGATTGCATTAAAAAAAAAAAATAACGGTTGAAGAAAACAACATTGAATCATACTCTTACTTTCAAGCTCTGATTCAATAATACACAAGAAGTAACCAATTAAAGGAATGAAATAGGGTTTGGCAGTCAGTAAAACATGTTTTTAGGGAGAATGACACCTATGATCGTATAATAGTGAGTTGACAACCTATTGAGCAAAAGACATAGAAATAATTATGTTTTGACTTTCTTAGAAAATATGAAATTGTAGCTTTGGTGGACCCCCTCCCCCCCACCCCTTTTAACTAAGTTATATTAAGTCTCCAGTCTATATCACACAGACCCCCCCCCCCCCCCCTCCCTTTTAACTAAGTTATAATGAGTGTCCAGCCCATATACATAGACCCTTCCAAACCCCACCTCCGTTTTAACTAAGTAAGTTGTAATGAGTGTCCAGCCTATATAACATAGAAGCAAACAATTATTGTATAAATATAAATTACAGATAATAAAAGTTGTTTTAAAAATACAATATTTCTATAATGATTTACATACATCACAAAATGGGGTGGAGAGAGCGAGAGAGAGAGAGAGACTAACATATGGTTCAATTTTATTTCAATAAATCGCTTGCGCGGTAGAGGTCTTTAGAAGTGGGAGGAAACCCGAGGACCTGGAGAAAACCCACGAGGTTGAACAGGTGACGATACTCCTTGTCAAGTACAACCGGGGAATCGAAACCACACCAGTTGACTCAATGACAGACCTTATGATACAACGCACACACACTAATCATTCGTCCATCTACCCCCCCCCCCCCCGATTATAGAAAGGAGTGCGTTGTATTAACTTTAATAAGTATCGATACCTATATCCTTCTGTTTTCATTCGATTCCTGTTTTACAAGATTAATACAAAAATTTACAGTTTCATTTACACCATTTTCACATCAGGTAATTTACAATTTCACATTCAAAATGGATCTCAAATAATAAGGTGCATTAAATCATCAAAAACCTAAACTACAATAGATCGAACACTGGTTGTCGGAGGCTATAGTTATAGACCTATATAGATCGAACACCGGTTGACGAAGGCTATAGTTATAGACTTATATTTAACACTGGTTGTTGAAGGCTATGGTTATAGACCTATATATAGATGTAACACCGGTTGTCAAAGACTATAGTTATAAACCCATATTTAACACTGGTTGTTGAAGACTATATAGACCTATGTAGAATGAACACTGGTTGTTGAAAGCTATAGTTATAAACCTATAGATGTAACACTGGTTGTTGAAGACTATGTTTATAAACATGTGTAGATGTATCACTGGTTGTCAAAGACTAAAGTTATAAACCTATATAGATGGACCATTGTGTGACTGGTTATCAATAGTTATATAGATGTAACACTGGTTGTCAAAGGCTATGGTTATAAAACTATATATTTAGAAGTAACACTATATGACTGGTTATCAAAGGCTTCGCTGATTGGTTATTTTGTGTTGATCTATTCTATTTTAGATTGTTGATATTCCTCAATGTATTTGATTGGATGAAATAATCATGTGACATGGAAGGACGAATATTGACTAATGTAGTGTGATTTATTTCCACGATCTGACTTGGTTGATTTCCCACTGTTGCCTAGGAACGGATGAATCACATGGTTGTAAATGTAACGAATCATCTTTACCGATCTCCACACACGAGTTGTGTTCCGTATTTTTAACTTGTTTAGTTGACTGAAAGGGAAAGAGGAATGAGGTTTAACATCCACTCAGCATAAACAAGGAGAGAGAGAGAGAGGGAGTGAGAGAGAGATTTTAACATCCACTCAACACAAACTAGGTCATATTGGGACTAACACATGGTTCAATTTTATTTCAATAATTGCTTGCGCATATGGGTCTTTAGCAGTGGGAGGAAACCGGAGGACCCGGAGAAAACCCAGAGGGTGGACAGGTGACCCTATTTCTTGTCACGTACAACCAGGGAATCGAAATTACGCTAGTCGACTCAATGACAGACCTTATTATACAGAGCGCACACGCTAATTATTCTGCTATCCCCCCCCCCCTATTATAGAAAGGAATCGGTAGTAATAACTTCAATAAGTATCGATAGGGTTGACTAGTTGACTCAATGACAGAACTGATGATAACCATCGGGCTATCCACCCCCACCCCCCCACCACATAAACAAGGGGTTTTCCCATTAGAAGGAAAGCCCATGTCATACAGTAAGGGACATTTTGCACGCACAGTCTCATTTTCAACTTCTCTTCACAGAATTACAATTAATATACTATCACGTGCACCTTTATCATTGACAAAAAATGAAATAAAATGGGTTATTGTCCTACTGTTCTGCTCTGACTGGGCTAATGAAGATGGGCATACCTCATACAGTGTGCTTATGAGGGAAATTTTGGCACTATGGCCTACTCTTATATCAAATTCTAAATGCCAAGAGATCTTTTAAGTGCACGTCAATGTATACACGGTTGTCCCATCCGAAAAACTACACAGCTGGCCTTGTCGGAAATTATTATTGCCAAGACCCTATATATTCGCTGCCAGGCCCTCTATCCTGCACCAGTTTCCAGTGGAATTCATGGTCATGCTGAAAAATCCTGTGGCATTCAAGGCTGTTTTGTTTGTGAGCCTGGGCCAATGGTCCATTACTCACAGAACCACTATTGTTCCCAGTAAAAATTTGAGCAAGCAGATGACCTTATTATTTTCACGGGAATACATCTTTAAAATATATAAATCATCTTACCGAATCGTAATCCCAGAATCCTGTGGGTTGTGTTTCACAGAAATGAATATGTATTGTATCTCCGTTCTTCGCTTGTAAACATCTTTCTCCTAGAGATAACTGACCTTTCATGTTTAATCGGAACATCTGAAATATTGTTACAAATAGAGATAGGGATTAACAGAGAGAGAGAGAGAGACAGAGAGAGAGAGAGAGGGAGGTCAAATCGACACAAACTAAGTCATTTCACGACTAACATATGATTCAATTTCATTTCAATAATTTACTTGCAGAGATGGGTCTTTAAGTGTAGGAGGAAACTGGAGGTTAGGCGACCCTACTCCTTGTCACGTACAAGTGTGCAATGGACTAGATATATACCAATGAAACTGCAAATTAGAGGTCAACTTCCATGCTATTTATGGAAAAGTCGGCCATCTAAGGACTTACTACAGCTTCATCAATGGACAGATATTTTCCCCTGTTTACGAACAAGACCAAGACTGCGGCTAATAATTTATCATTTCTCTACCCATGTGAAGAAAATCCCTCGTTGATTCCAAAATCTGGGAGCCACAGTAGCTTACTGATCAAGACATTGGTTCGTTAGCCTGGAGGTCCCGTGTTCGATCCCAGTGTTGGCAGAGAAAGTTCATCAGGATATTCTGGCATGGTTCCCCTTTGTCAGTGGTGTAGGACATATAGTCATTCGGATGGGATGGAAACCCAAGGTCCTGCATACACATTAAGGATCCCTTGGCAGTTGGAATTCCATATTAGGGAAAAGGGTGTGTTAAGTGGGCATTTATGGTAATCTCTTTATAATGTATTTTACCAAATTGGAAAAACTTTTCTGGGAAATAGAGAGAGAAAGAAATGGGGTTTAACATCCACTCCACACAAACTAGGTAATTTCGGGATTAACACATGGTTCAATATGGGTCTTTAGCAGTGGGAGGAAACCGGAGGACCCAAAGAAAACCCCTGAGTTGGAGAGGCAACCCTACTCCTTGTCACGTACAACCAGGGATTTGAAACCACACCAGTTGACTCAATGACAGGCTTTATGATACAGCACGCACATGCTAACCATTCAGCCACCCACACCCCCTTCTGAGAAATAATAACATCACATATTTAGGTCATTGTATCATGTGACCATATCTTACCTGATTCCCACCAGCATGGTGACAATAATAAGCTCCGATTGGTCCACCACCAACAGACTGACCAACCGTATCCCAACATTTATTCCCGCCAACAGTTTTAAACTGAAACAAAGAAAAACAAACAAAATTGTCAAGAAACTGAAAGCTACTAAATCATGTTAAAGAGTCATTGTGCAAGATCAAAATCTGCCAATTTCAAGGGGTTCTCTGGCTTCAAAATGTTATAAATATTCACTTGACCATAATCAACCCAGCCATAATCAACTCACAACTGGTGGAGATACTGAATGGAGATAGAGAGAGAGAGATGGGGTTTAACGTCCACTCGACACAAACTAGGTCATTTCGGGACTAACATATGGTTTAATTTTATTTCAATAATTCGCTTGCGCGTAGGGGTCTTTAGCAGTGGGAGGAAACCGGAGGACCCGGAGAAAACCCACGAGGTTGGAGATATTGAATGGATTAAGTCATCTGGTTATGGTTAAAATGGACATTAATCAATAAGAGAGAGAGAGGGGGAGAGAGAGGGAGAGAGAGAGAGAGAGAGAGGGAGAGAGGGAGGGAGAGAGGGAGAGAGAGGTAGAGAGAGAGAGAGAGAGAGAGAGAGAGAGAGGGGGAGAGAGAGGGGGAGAGAGAGAGGGAGGGGGAGAGAGAGGGGGAGAGAGAGAGAGAGAGAGAGAGAGGGAGAGAGGGAGAGAGAGAGGGAGAGGGAGAGAGGGAGGGAGAGAGGGAGAGAGAGGTAGAGAGAGAGAGAGAGAGAGAGAGAGAGAGAGAGGGGGAGAGAGAGGGGGAGAGAGAGAGAGAGGGAGGGGGAGAGAGAGGGGGAGAGAGAGAGAGAGAGAGAGAGAGAGAGGGAGAGAGAGAGAGAGAGAGAGAGAGAGAGGGAGAGAGAGAGAGAGGGAGAGGGAGAGAGAGAGATGTTTACTGGATACAAACTAGGTCATTTCGAGACTAACATGGTTCAATTTTATTTCAATAATTCAATTGCACATAGGGGTCTTTAGCAGTGTGAGGAAACCGGGAGACCCAGAGAAAACCCACAAGGTTGGACAGGCGACCCTACTCCTTGTCAAACACAACCGTGGAATCGAAACCACGCCAGTTGACTCAATGACAGACCTTCTGATACAACGTGCACGCGCTAACCATCCAACCCCTCCAAAAAGTAGACAAACCAGGATGTCTACGATTAACCATTTTTCAATGCATGGTCAAACTTACTTCACCCCAAACTTACTTTGGAGGCAACGGAGAAAATCATTCAAATACCGGGAGGGGCCATTTCATTGCAAAATTCCAAACATTTATAACTTCATCAAGGTCAAACTTACCTCGCCCCAAACTTTATTTCGAGGTAACGGAGGAAATCGTTCAAATACTTCATAGGCTACGTTCTCCATAAACCATTTGAAACTTTTACAATTATGTTGTTTTTTAAATTCCAGTTGTTTACTGATATCACCAATCGGATACCCTCGTACAGACGGCTCTCTCGTATAAAAATATTCTTTAAATTCATCATCTAACCAAACTTCTACCACTCTCATATAATTCTAAAAAAAAACATAACAAAAATTGGCTATGTTATTTGTAACCATGATAATTCTTATTCACGTCTACAATTGATACACTATTTGAGGCTTTGCACAAGTAAAATTAGGTTCAATTGGTAATCCACTAGTAACATCAATGCTGATTGGTTAATCAAATGTCTGACGTCATAGGGTCAAAAGTCGCTTGTATGACCTCTGATGCAACCCTCCACTACAACTGGTCAGATCTTCATGTAGTGTTGGCCATCGAAAGTATAAAAAAAAACGAAACGAAATATAGATCTGTATTATAATCAGATTGAGGATATCTTGTCAGGGTTTGGTCTTTTCCGTTTTGTTTGCGGTCCTCCTGCACTTACTATTAGCCGAAGTGGATACAAGAAAGGGACGGCAACACTCCTTTGACAAGGTGACTAAAGCTGGACAGGCTGATACATCTGCGTGGATACTGGATCAAGCAAAAGATACCGGCGGGGCAGAGGAGTAAAATAAATAAATCAAAGAATCCCCGCTCAACAGGCTTGGTAGAAGTGAAGATGGTTTAATCAATATAATGTTTCGGGTTGAGATACCCTTTATCAGAAGTCTTCTCAGTAATTAGTTTTTGAGAATCTGAGATAAATCTATGCCTGCCATGTACAAGACTTACCAATAATATAACAGGAATTTTAGCGTCAACTTTTCCAAAACCATACGGCATGTGATTTCTGTAAACATGACCCACACGAGAACATGGAACCCATTCAATACTACCACCACATTGCCATATCTAAAACAATTACAATAAAATACAAAACAATTACAATATTTTCTCAATACTGCCATAAAATAATCATTATAAACATCGGAAATCATATAGATGATATTTAGGCACAAGGACTGTATAATACTGATTTATTGCCTTGCAACATTAGAACCAATGACTCCTTGGATGCATTTAACCCGTTAAGTGCGTAGGTCGTTACATAACGTCCTGGACAACTGCCACTCACTGTGTGTAGGGCGTAATATAACACCTTGGAGGTATTTTCCCCAACCTATTCTTAGAACATAGTTCCCAAGGGATTCCCCCACGATCGCAGCATGCGTAGGTCGTTATATTACGTCCTGGACAACTGCCACTCACTGTGTGTAGGGCGTAATATAACGCCTTGGAGGTATTTTCCCCAAAACCTATTCTTAGAACATAGTACATAGTTCTTCGTCACTTCATCAAATTAATTACACAATAGGGGGTAGTTAACGTTTTAAAAATGTCACGCTTAACGGGTTAAAGCTCAGCTAAATATATTTACAGAGGTGTTCATTTATAGTTCAATAGAAGCGTTTCCATAGCTCAAGAGGGAGAGAGAGAGAAAGAGAGAGACACAAATAAGGTCATTTCAGGATTAACATATGGTTCAATTTTATTTCAATCATTTTCTTGCGCATAGGGGTCTTTAGCAGTTGGAAGAAAACTGGAGAACCCAGAAGAAAAAACCCATGAGGTTGGACAGGGTGTCCTACTGCTTGTCACATACAACTGCGGAATCGAAACCATGCCAGTTGACTCAATGACAGACGTTATGATACAACACGCACACGCTAACCCTTCCGCCATCCAACCGTCCATAGCTCAATAGAGATAACTTGCAAAAGCGCAATATAAACTGAGCTGTACTGGTAGAAGGACTCTTCCACTCTTTCATTCCTTTGCAATGAAAGGTTTTTTCGTAACCATTTTGGAATTTTATTTGTTAAAAGCTTTATCGCAGTTTAATCTATGCTAGTTTATCAAAAATGTACTTTTTTAAAAATATTCCAGAAATAATTTTTAAAAAAATGTATGTTATACAAGTTTATACCTGACGCCCCTTTAACTGAATTTATATTCCAAAATGAAATGAAATGGGGTTGGTTTAAAGTCCTACAGTTCTGCTCCGACTGGGCTATAAGGGAAATTTTGCCTGGGTAGCAGCACTATGACCTATATCGAACTCCAACTGCCAAGGGATCTGTTACGTGCATGTTAATGTAAACAGCTGTCCTTGTCAGGACTTCCGTCCTGCACCACTGACAAGGGGAAAACACGTCAGAAAATCCTGATGAACTTTCTTGGATAATACAGGGATCGAACACCAGAATACATTTAAAACTGACCTTGAAGGACAACTCAAAATTTTCTCCTCCCCAGATTTGCATACCAGGATCATATCCACCCATTTCAAAAAAATATTTACGATCCATCGCAAATAATCCACCAGCATGTGTTGGAGATCTGTTCAAAATAAATACAATTTATATCAGAAATAAAAAATGAAACAGAGTTTAATGTCCTACTGTTCTGCTTATGAAGACAGCCGACGAAATATAGTGTGCTACGAGGGAAATTTTGCCCAGACAGCGGCACTATGGCCTACTCTTATATTGAATTCCAACTGCCAAGGGATCTTTTACATGCACGCCAATGTTTTTTGTCCCATCCGAATGACTAGACAGTTGTAGTTGTCAGGCCCTTCATCTGCAACACTGACAAAGGTGAAACCACATCGGAAATGGAGTTTAACTCCACTTGAGAAAAACTATGTCATTTCGGGACTAATATATGGTTCCTATTTTATTTTTTTTAAAATTCGCTTCTAGAAGTGGGAGGAAACCGGAGGACCAGAAAAAATTATGAGGCTGGAAAGAAAACCCAACTGCTTGTCACATACAAGTCCGAAATCAAAACCATGTCACATGACTCAACGACAGACCTTATGATCTAACATGCATGCGTTCATCCATTCGGCCACTCAACGCCCCCTGTTAGCAGGGAATTGAAATCACGCCACTTGACTCAATGACAGACCTTATGATCTAAAGCACATTCATTAAAACCAATCGCTCGACTCCTCCCGCCTTTTTAACATGAAAATAAAACTCAATTTACTTGTATGGTTCAGAGTGATAGATCCTAATGGTCGTTAAAACAATTCGTCCTCCCCCCCCCCACACACACACACATACACCCCTCTTTGAGATGAAAATAAACCTCAACTTACTTGTATGGTTCTGAGTGATAGGTCCTGGTGGTGAGTTCCCTCTGTGGTACCTGGCTTTCTTTATACAGGAAACCCCACTCAAAGATTCCACGATGATGGGTCGTCGTATAAACGGGACGATAGCGGAAATTATCCCAATCTATACCATCAACAATCGGCACGGCCATTATAGTTCTGTAATACACAAATGTTATATAGGTCATAGAAATATTCTGTTTATCATTATTGTACGCGAGAATGAAATATGAAATGGGGTTTAACTCTTAACATCTTATTTTTCAGCAACCGACTGGGCTAAAGAAGACAGGCATAGCCATGGAGTGTGTTATGAAGGGAATTTTGCCCGGGCAGCAGTACTACGGCTTTCTCTTATATTGAATTCGTACTGTCAAGAAATCTTTAACATGCACGCCATTGTGTAAGCAGCTTACTCTTATACTGAATTTGTACACAGAACGTTTGTTTTTTGTCCCATCCGAACAACTATACACTGCAAGTCAAAAGTAATGGAGTTTATCTATTATTCTGCACCGACTGGATTAAAGAAGTCAGGCATACGCCATGGAGTTTGTTAAAGTAGCTAAGTCCGTAACTCAATATCATCCAAAATCTTCGACATTGAAAACACGATTTTTTTTGCAATTTAAATCAGCATTGGTGTTGTGATCTTACCTGGAAAAGATGGGCTTCTGATATCCAATATTTAAGACAAAATAAACATTTTACCATTGGTACACGAATCGTGTACCATAATGCATTTCAGCGCAATTTGTAACAAGGTGCTCAAAGAATGAGGCTAGACATATTCCACAAGTCATGTCAAACAGTGATATCATGTTCTTATTTGGAGAGCATGCGCAATAAATAATATCGATGTGGACTGGAATAACCAGATGCTAGAAATTGACTTGCGGTTGAGACTTTTGGCGTATTTCGCTGAACATAACTGATGACAATTCACAGTAAAACGGACACGATTGAATGTAAAACAGTTTATATAAATTCATATTACATTATTATATGTGTTGCGACCCATTTGTGCTAATTTCTAGGTCCAAAATATTAGCGATTTAGCTCCTTTAAGTAGAGAATTTTGCCCTGATAGAGGGTCTTTTCTTCTGACTTTTTCAAATTTAAACTGTCAAGGGATCTTTTACGTACACAAAAATGTGAACATAGGACATCAGTATTTTGTCTCATCCTGGTTAGTTACATGTATCCAGAGCCGTACTCACTGACTCCAACATGCGAGAAATAGTCATATTATACTAGGGTATGCCTAAAATGGCAATGCTCTTGCAGGAAAAACAAAAAATTCTACTTTCACTTTTTGACATAAAGAAAAGATCATACTAAACGTATTGGCTTCTCTTGAGAACAAACAATAAGCTAGTTGACAGACATTTTAAGTCCTAAATCAGCGATTTTAGTTGAAAACACTATTTTATGCCGCTTCCATTTAATCAGGCCTGGAAATAACAGTTTTAGATGTACATGACAAAATGTCAGGCACTAATGAAATATTACCCGACATTTTCAACTTAGTGTCGGACATGTATTAATAATATCAATAAAAAAGACAAATCAGTGCCGGACAAAATGACAGGCACCATAGGTTTTGTGCCTGACAAAACCTGATCTGTGCCTGACATTGTCTGTGACAGATGCTTTATTTCCAGGCTTGCATTTAATAAAATTTAAAATGTTTAGTTTGTCGTTATGTGGGTGAAACGGAGTAGAACCGCATTACATAATAGTTAACTAATTATTGGATATGGCCGCCTTTCTGGGCAGAGATCTATTCTCGAAGTAAATAGCTGTCTGTGCGCAGAAAGGAGAAAAGATGTCGCTGTTGATTCACATGAAACTTTAACCATATTGAAATAATATTCGAGATCAACTGATTTCAACATCTTTTTTTTGAACTAAATCAAACAAGTTCAGCTGCTTTATGCAAATGGCCTGAATCCAGATGTTTTATCATGAAACATTTTCTCTTCAAATACTAAAACATTCCGATTCTTTACACACTTTCAATTTGAAATTTTTTGACACGTCTTTTCTGGTTGCATGAAAATAAATCTACAGAAGAAAACCCAAAAGAAACAGACATTTTCTTGTTTATTTCAAATTTTTCCCCATTTCATGTATCTCAAACACATCTGTGTGCCAAGTTATTTTAAAACTATTAAAACTCTAAAGAAGATGAATTTGTATTGTCCGTTTGTATTTGTATTGTTCGTTTGTATTTGTTATTCAATACTAACACAGCTGTGAAATTATCTGCCTGTAGAGCTGGGCGATATTTCGGTTTTTCGATATAAATTTTTTAACATTCGGCAACATATGCAGTATATGTCAAACCAAGCCAGCATCATCTATAATTTTCACTAAAATTATTAAAGATACATTTTTATGTAAGAGCTAAATCTGCCTATTGCAGGTTTTCATTTTGGCTTTAAATGATATATAAATTACTATTTTGATATTTATTCACATGACAAGCCTATAATCAACTCTCTAGAGCATCGGATGGCAGTGATTTAAACGGATTGAGATACGATCTCCATTTAATGAATTAATTAGAAAGTTGAGAAATGAGACTTGATTAACATGTAATGTTGCTATTGATAAACAATCTATGCCACATCTTGTCTTCAAACAGTGAAAACTTCCCTCAAAATAAAGTAATCTGAATGGATTTTTCAATATATTCATTTACTATTATTCATTTTTGAACTATCATAGCAAGAATGGTCAGCTCTTTATCTAAATCTTACATAATGTATCTTTAGATGTGCCTCTATTTAAATAGAATCCAAATCTGAGAGAGTATAGTTGAAGGGGACGAATTTCAACATGGGCAGCAATTGAATTCCAATTGCTTATAATTAGGATCCTTGATGTGTTCAGAGACCACATTTTTGTTTAATATGAAATGAAATGAAATGGGTTTAATGTACTACTGTTCTGCTACGAAGTAGAAGACGGGCATACGCCATACAGTGTGCTATGAGGAAAATTTTGCCCGGACAGCGGCACTACAGCCTACTCTTATACTGAATTCCAACTGTCAAGGGATCTTTTACGTGCATGCCAATGTGTACACGGGACCTCGGTTTGTCGTCTCATCCGACCGACTGTACGTTATCACTTGTCAGGCCCATCATCCTGCATCACTGACAAGGGAGAACCATGCCAGAAAATCTGGATGAACTTTCTCGGCCAATGCAGGGATCGTACACCCGACCTCCAGGCTAGCGAGCCAGCATCTTACCCACTTAGCCTGTTTAATATGAGTAAAATTAAATAGAATGTCTTTTAGTTAAGCAACACTACAATTCTTGTGGATCAGAAAGGAAAAGCTTAATAACAAATATCTAATACGGAGTCAAGCTGGGCCCTTATTCACGAAAACTTAAACTAAGATACAATCGAAATTTTAAGAAATACTGCAATTCGATTGGCTGACCAGTAAAATCAATTTGCATATATCCAATTTGCATATTGGTCAGCCAATCAAATTGCAGTATTTCTTAAAATTTCGATTGTATCTTAGTTTAAGTTTTCGTGAATAAGGGCCCAGTAAAACAATTTTTGGGAAGTTCTCTTCAAATGTTCCTACATTTTAAATGTCTAGCAAGATGTAAGAGTTTATTGGCAGTCTTATTTTCTAGACACCAACTAAAATAACAAGAACGAAAACCATCTATCTTTGATAATTTGATTTTGTTTTCATATTTCTTAAACATACATTATGCAAGAGCTAAATCTGCCTGTTGCAGGTCTTTCTTTAGGCCTGAAATGTTTTACAAACTATTAATTAGACATTAATTAACGCATCCAGACCATAATCAACTCTCGATGTCAACGCTAGCCTGCGACATTTGTTGGATTATGATCCGATTTGCTGCATAACTTTCCTTCTCGATTTAACGATTAAATGGATAATCGAGACTATGATTTTTGTTGTACCGACTTTAGTAATGATGACCGAGGTTATACGGAACTTTCGATCGCTTAATTCTCAGTTCAGATTGGATCAATCTGACCGAAATTTACAGCAAATTGCCTTTACATTATCTAGTTTTTAACTATTATAGTGAGAACTGCCAACTCGTTATCTAATCTCCCATAATATTTTTTAAATACCAAATATGCAATTTGAGGAAATTTAACGGCAAAAAATTTGATATTATCAGCGTCTTTGAAAGTTTTAAAAATCAAACTGTAAAAGAAGTGGACATCTTTGTGTTGATTTTTGTTTTTGTTATTGTTGAAAGATTTGTATTCGATGAACGTGTGTGCGTTGTAAACACTCTCTGTCTATTTATTTGGGGTTTAAAATGTCACCTTAGACAACAAAACTAGTTTAATATTTAAACAACGAGATGTAGCAGAAGTCTATTTACGGATTTTACGTCGTCGATGTCACCTGCAGAATTCGAATCGCAGGTGAAAAAAGATAATTCTAAAATGGTACCTCAAATATTTAGAAATTCCTAAATGAATCTTTATTTAAGTCATCAAACTGTTAAGAAGTTCATCTGTATTTGTTGAAAATTCTTGAGAAAATTGGTCAAATTCTAATACAGAAATTTCAAATTCCTTTCAAGAATGTAATTTTTGTCAAATGCTTTGAGAGTAAAAACTTAAAAAACTTCCAAATTTCCATCTGATCACTTCACAGAGTGTGTGTTCCTAACAAATGCATCAAATTCCCTAAATTGAACCTCATCATCAATTACAACATTTGTTTTTCTACCAAGTTATTTCTGTCAATTTAGGAATCTAAAAAAATCTATAGTTAGAGGAATTTTAACATTTGCTAATGTATGCATGTGTCAGGCTACATGTAGTTGTACATGTACATTATACAAGAGCTAATTCTCCCCATTGCATGTCTTTCTTTAGGCCTGAAATGTTATCTATATTATTAATTAGACATTAATTGACTTATCCAGACCATAATCAACTCTTGATGGCAGCACAAGTCTGCGATATTTAGTGGATTTGAATACATTTTGTGATGGATGATTTAACATCAAAATGGACAATCAAGACTTTAGTAATGATGATCGAGGCTAGGCCTAAAATTCAAAAGCTAATATCTCGGTTCAGAATGGAGCAATTTGACTGGAATTTTAAGTATATTTTATTTACATTATCTAGTTTTTAACTATTATATTGAAAACTGCCAACTCTTTATCTGATCTCCCATAATGCCCCCTTAATAATGATTGAAGTTGCACCTGCCATAGGCTGGGGAATGTCTGATTGACTAAAGCGATTTGGGGTCACGGTGGCTAAGTGGGCAAGACGCTAGCTCGCTAGCCTGGAGGTCGGGTGTTCGATCCCTGCATTGACTGACAAAAGTTCATCCAGATTTTCCAGCGTGGTTCCCCCTTGTCAGTGATGCAGGCCGGAGGGAGGGCCTGACAAGGACAGTTGTCTTAGTCGTTGGAATTCAATATAATAGTAGGCCATAGTGCCGCTGTCTGGGCAAAATTCCCCTCATAGCACACTGTATGGCGTGTGCCCGACTTTATTATCCCAGTCGGAGCAGAACGGTAGGACGTTAAACTCCATTTCATTTCATTTCTGAAGCTATTTTCGGAGGATGGGTCCACTAAAGGGATTTCATTTGCGGTTTAGTCTGAAGGGGGATTGTCAGGGGTTCTGTGAAAGGGGTTTTGCCAGGGGATGGGGGTCTGATGGGTTTTGTTCATAGGAATCTATATGGTTACAGGCCAATATATCCAGGATTACAGGCCTATAAAGCTATGGCTGTGTCTGTATATCTAACAGTAGAATATAAAATGTTAGTTACCTGTCGTACGCTATTCTCGCCAACAAGGGAGGTAACCAGTTAGGATTACCTTCACAATGAGCATCAAGAAATACAATAACTTCTCCCGTGGCTAACTCTGCCCCTCTGGTTCTAGTTCGAATAAGACCCAGACGTTCGTCGTTACGATAAATTTTCACTTTACCGTTAAATCGCGTCATGTATTGGTCTAATTTATCCTTTAAATGTTCTGAAATAAAAAGAGGAAAATTGGGTTCAATATACAGTTTGAGAAAATCTGATTAAAACACAGATCCTATTTCGTTTTGTTTCTTTTATAGTTCAAAATTTTGTTTCACACTAGGATGATGATGATGAGTTACCGGTAGTTGTATTTTACGTCCGCTTCCACCGAGGTGATATCACACTAGGATCTGGAAGAGTTCTTATATATCCCTCGTTCTGGATGATGTGAGGGATTAGCTAATAAAACGGTCTGTTACGACAAGTTTTTGGCATCAACGCTGATTGGTTAATCAAATGTCTGACGGCATAGGGTCAAACAGTCTGTTACAGCGAGTTTTTGTTTTGGCGTGAGGTCCGCGGAACAGTGGTTAAACCACTAGAAACATCAACATTGATTGGGTAAATATACATTATGCAAGAGCTAAATCTGCCTATTTCAGGTCTTTCTTTAGGCCTGAAATGTTATCTAAATTATTAATTAGACATTAATTAACCTATCCAGGTCATAATCAACTCTAGATGGCAGTGCTAGCCTGCGATCTTTAATGGATTGTAAGCCGATTTACTGCATAACTTTCCTTCTCGATTAAACGATTAAATGGATAATCGAGACTATGCTGTTTATCGTACTGACTTTAGTAATGATGACCGAGGCTTGTGGGATTTTCAATCGCTTAGTTCTCGGTTCATAGTGGATCAATTTGAATGAAATTTTCACCAAATAGCCTTGACATTATCTAGTTTTTAACTTTTATAGTGAGAACTGCCAACTCGTTATCGAATCTCCCATAATGTATCTTTAATCAAATGCCAGACGTCATAAAGTCAAAAGCAACTAGTCAGATCTTCATGTAGTGTAGGCCATCGGAAGTATAAAAAACGAAACGAAATATACATCTGTATTTTAATCAGATTGTAAGAAATAAAATGGGGGTTTAATTTCTGTGTCCTGCTTTGAAGCACTTGACCACTATGATTCTAAGACAAACGAACACCTGATAACATATACAACCAGAGAAATGGGGTTTAAAATCCACTTAACACAAACTAGGTCATTTTGGTATGATTTTATCATCTATGGCAAGGTTTGGGGGCATTTGTGTGGAACTTTTCACCACAAGAGTTCCACAAGATACTGGGTTTCTGAAAATAAATACATTCCACAAGACTTTCGACTTAGATCAAACAGACACCCCCCCCCCCCATCTAGCAACCAACCTACAAGCAGGAGAATTATTAATATAAAAATTGTATCATATATGTCAGTCTTGAAATGACCTAGTTCGTGTCAAAGTGGACATTAAACTCCATTTCTCTCTCTATATAAACATTTCTCTCTGTCCACCTGTGTGTGAGAGAGAGAGAGAGAGAGAGAGAGAGAGAGAGAGATGGGGTTTAACGTCAACTCGACAAAAACTAGGTCATTTCGGGACCAACATATGGTTTAATTTTATTTCAATAATTTGCTTGCGCGTAGGGTCTTTAGCAGTGGGAAGAAACGTGACGACTCAGAGAAAACCCACAAGGTTGGACAGACGACCATATTCCTTGTCACGTACCACCGGGGATTTGAAACCACGGCAGTTGGCTCAATGACAGACCTTATGATACAGCGCTGCGCGCATGTGCTAACCATTCGGCCACCCCCGCCCCCCACTCTGTGAGTTTCACCATCAACATATATAACAGAAGTTGAGCAAATGTTTGTGAATTATTTTATAACATAGGATTATGTTGTAAAAATAACAAATAAATAGTCGAGTTTCATCAATATTATGTTAATATCTGACAAAATTTACTCTAGCTGTTCATTAACAAATATGTTTAATAAAATCAATATCGAAAACTTTAAACAAGGAATCCTTTTACAACACCTGAATTGACTGACTGTTTTGTTAACTAGAGAGAAAGGATGAATAAAAGCTTATGAGGAGGAGAGAGAGAGGGAGAGAAGAGACAGAAAGACAGAGATACGGTTTAATGTCTACTTAACACAAACTATGTATTTGAGAGAGAGAGAGAGAGAGAGAGAAATGGGGTTTAACGTCCACTCGACACAAACTAGGTCATTTCAGGACTAACATATGGTTTTAATTTTATTTACATAATTCGCTTGCGCGTAGGGGTCTTTAGCAGTGGGAGGAAACCGGAGGACCCGGAGAAAACCCACGAGGTTGGACAGGCGACCCCACTCCTTGCCACTTACAACCGGGGATTCGAAACCACGCCAGTCGACTCAATGACATATTTTACGATACAGCGCGCGCACGCTAACCATTCAGCCATCTACCCCCCCCCCCTATGTATTTGAGAGGGGAGCCACGGTGGATAAGCATGTAAGGCGCTGGCTCTGGCAGCGTAGTCTGGACGTCGCGTGTTTGATCATTGCATTGGCCGAGAAAGTTCATCAGGATTTTCCAATCTCGTTTCCCCTTGTCAGAGGAGCCTGACAAGGACAGCTGTCTAGTTGCTTGGATTGGACGATAACCAGGGTCCCGTGTTTACACTGGAATGCACAATAGGCGCATTATAAATTAATTATTATTATTATTATTAAAATCATTTTGTTTATTTTATGATATTTATGTTCAACAGATTGGTTCAATTAGACTGGTTGTGTCTTTGATCAAATATAATAATAATAATAACAATAATATTCATGTAAGTTTAATGTTCGTTTTATGTTCAGCTATTTAACTACAAACGTTTCACAATAGAAATCTGTTGTTTAAATTATTTCAATAAAGGGACATCACGTCTGTAGCTAAAAGCTTCCCTCACTTTGACATTTAGGGCGTGTTTTATACCAAACACATACAGTTGTTTTAAATGTTTTGTTAGTTCGTCTGGCTGCTATTGTTGTCATAAAACTTAAACTTACAAAAGATCAGGGTTTAATCAAAGGTACTATTTTCATTACGCTGCATAGATTTTATGGAACTGTCTCTACCTTTTGTGATAAACATGGGTAAAAATATTGAACTTAAGTTCCAAACAGAATAAACCATGATATTTCTATTTTTATAAATTTTTCGTGTGGCCATGATCCTAATGTTAAATCTATTATTATTAAAAGGCGTATAGCGCTTCTATTCTTGGGAACCTTGAAATAGATGAAAAGGGTTGGTAAAAGCATATATATTTGTAATATGAATGTACATTGACGGATATTGAATTCTAAGCCGTGTTTTTAATGTTGAATATCATGGATAAATTTAGTTCTAGCTATATCTCCTTTAATCATCATTTCTCCCTTTAAAATGATTATATAATTATATTCTATCTATACTAATATTTGTGACTGTCGTTTGTCGGTCTGTCTGTCTGTCTGTTCGGGGTTGGCGGCTAGCTACACTAGGTCTGCCCCTAGTCTGAAATTTGGGGTATAGGGGTAGCTCGGACAGGGGAGTAACATAGGCCAGGTGGCGTTAGTCTTCCAGTTTCGGAGTTATGACCCCCAAGCGTAGCCGGTCTGTTCGGGTTTGGCGACTACACTAGGTCTGCCCCGAGTCTGAAATTTGGGGTATAGGGGTAGCTCTGACCGGGGAGTAACATAGGCCAGGTGGCGTTAGTTTACCACTTCTGGTTTCGAGGTTATGACCCCTGAGCGAAGCCGGGTATCCTGCTAGTATTCTTATATTTATAACACCATTAGACTTTCAGGGAATGTAGCTCGTCGACGTGTGTTCTCTAAGTATCAGAAATGAATACAGATTCTTGGAATGGATCTTCAACACTTTATTTCTGGAGCAAATAATTAACAGCAACAATTTAACAACTTATAATTTCCTATGTATCGTGACCTCCAACTAGTATATAGGTTCCCTAAGCTGGTCTCTCCAACTAAAATGAATCATCTTACATACATTTGTCTATTTATACAAATTAGTTACTTAGAAAGTGTTGACATAAACATATAATTATTGAAGGATTAAGACTTAAGGCATTTTAAACAATAGTTAGAAGAAACTTAACAGATCAACCACTTTAGTTGCCAGCCTGTCATAATTTGACTGACAGGTTAATTGCTTTCTGCCTCTAAATGTATCTTTAAGTAAGTCTACCAGTTTAATGTATCTTTAAGTAAGTCTACCAGGTTAATGTATCTTTAAGTAAGTCTACCAGGTTAATGTATCTTTAAGTAAGTCTACCAGTTTAATGTATCTTTATGTAAGTCTACCAGTTTAATGTATCTTTATGTAAGTCTACCAGTTTAATGTATCTTTAAGTAAGTCTACCAGTTTAATGTATCTTTAAGTAAGTCTACCAGTTTAATGTATCTTTAAGTAAGTCTACCAGTTTAATGTATCTTTAAGTAAGTCTACCAGTTTAATGTATCTTTAAGTAAGTCTACCAGTTTAATGTATCTTTAAGTAAGTCTACCAGTTTAATGTATCTTTAAGTAAGTCTACCAGTTTAATGTAAAAGTGAACGTACCTTTATCACTGAAATCATCCACCATAACAACTTCATGTAGAAGATGTGACGGTGTTGTATTTATAACACTATGAACTGTTCTAACTAGTGTAGACCAACCCTCGTTATGGAACACCAGTATAACACTTGCTGACGGTAATTTCTCAGGATAATGCCAATATTTACATCTACAAAAAAGTTGAATAAGTTCATCAAATTTTCCGATTTGAGAAAAACAGTATCATTTACAAAATGGCGTCATCAGTGGCTGGGATAGTTGAGAAAAGTGGGGAAGTAAATAAACCTCATTTCATTTCAAATCAAACACGAAAATGGAAAAGGAATGATTGATACATCTTGAAAACTACTATATTCCGAGCCCTTACCTTGAGAGAGAGAGAGAGAGAGAAATGGGGTTTAAGGTCCACTCTACACAAACTAGGTCATTTCAGGACTAACACATGGTTCAATTTTATTTCGATAATTTGCTTGCGCGTAGGGGGGCGTTCAACAGTGGGACAAAACCAGAGGACCCGGAGAAAACCCATGAGGTTGGATCCGGCGACCCTACACCTTGTCACATACAACCAGGGAATCAAAACCAAGCCAGTTGACTCAATCACAGACCTTATGATACAACAAGCGCATGTTAACCATTTGACCATCCAGGATAATATAAAGAAATCTTACTCATCCATCCTGGTATCAGGAACGGTTCTATCGAGTGATATTTTATCACTATTGACCATATTAAAACCATATTCACGTATTGACTGATCAGCTCGCGATCTTTCATCCATCGCTGTATAAACAGGTTCACCGTTCTCACCTGTAAACATTAATATAAACATTTATTATAAACAGGTTCACCATTCTCACCTGCAAAAATTTAATTATCAATATATATATATATATATATATATATTTATTATATTTATTACCTTTAATATGTCTCCTTCATATTGAAATTAATTTAATTAAAAATCCACCGGTCCATAATATCCTAACCAATGTATCCGACATTAAGATTGTAATAAACAACAACAATAATAACATCAGGAGAAGTTGAGTTGCCACGTTGTCGTATATATTGATGCAAGAATTGGGAGTATTCCATCAGCTTCAGTTGGGGTGGGAGGAGGAGGGAGGGGGAGGGAGGGGGGAGAAAAGAGTAATGTTCACGACACAACTAGGTCATTTTGAAAATTACATATGGTTTAAATTTATTTCATTAATTCGCTAGCACATAGGGATCTTTAGCAGTGGTAGGAAACTGGAGGACCTGGAGAAAACCAACGAGGTTGGACAGGTGACCCTACTCCTTATCATGTACAACTGGGTAATCGAGACCATGCCACTTGACTCAATGATACAGCGCGCAGTGCACGTGCTAACCATTCGGCCATTTACCCCCCCAGATTTTGATGTAGTGGAGGACATCGAAAGTATAAAAAAACAAAAGGAAATATAGATAGATCTGTATTTTGTTTTCAAGTGGATGAAGCAATGAAAAACAAAATATTGTCCAAAAACTGCAAAATGGCGATCAGTAGTTTTAAAGTTGTAATATAATAATAAACAAAAGAAATCAATACCTGGTCCGCTACCGGGATGAACGGGGGCTGGCTCGTAATTCCCAGTCACACCCTTCTTCATAACAGTTTTAGGTCGATCTTTCTCAGGCCGTTTATCATGAATTAAGTCGTTGTCGTCAACATTATTGACCAACGGCAGTGGAACAACCTGTTCTTTAGCGTCATCAACCAATGAATTCTCAATGTTGTCTTTAGCCTAAAATATATAAATATCATTTGATTATTCATCATGTTATTATTGTAGTGATGGGTATCATACACTATATAGCGTATGCTTAGTCTTTTCAAAACCCTAGATACGAAAGCACACTCCTACATGTATTATGCAAAACATCTCTCTGGATGCCTATATAATATAGGGTTGAGTAGCTGTCCCACAGGGGTTTTACAAATTATGTAAAATATCCCACTGGATGCCCATATAGGGTTGAGTAGTTGTCCCACAGGGGTTTTACAAATTATGTAAAACTTTCCACTGAGTTTTTATAATTTATGTAAAACCTTCCACTGAGATTTTATAATTTATGTAAAACCTTCCAATGAGTTTTTATAATTGATGTAAAACCTTCCACTGGGTTTTTATCATTTATGTAAAACCTTCCACTGGGTTTACAAATTATCTAAAACATTCCATTCATTATTATGTAAAACTGTGAACTGAGTTTTTACAAAGTTACATAAATCACAAACTGAGTTTTTATAAAGTTACTTAAATCACAAACTGAGTTTTTACAAAGTTACATAAATCACCAACTTAGGTTTGACAAGTTACATAAATCACAAACTGAGTTTTTACAAGTTATGTAAACCACCAACTGAGTTTTTATAAAGTTGCATAAATCACTAACTGAGTATTGACAAGTTACGTAAATCACCAACTGAGTTTTGACAAGTTACATAAATCACAAACTAAGATTTTACCAAGTTACATAAACCACAAACTGATTTTTTACAAAATTATATGAAACTCTCACTGGCCATTTCGTAAAGCTTTTAAACATCATAAAAGGTGAAAACATCATCAAGATCAAATAATTCAACCAATATCAATCTATAAACGTCCACTCAACACAAACTAGATTGGGACTAACATATGGTTCAATTTTATTTCAACAATTCACTTGCCCGTAGGGGTCTTTAGCAGTGGGAGGAAACCTACAGGCGACAGGCGACCCTATCCTTGTCACGTACAAGTGGGGAATCGAAACTAAGCCAGTTGATTCAATGACAGAGCTTATGATACAGCATGCACGTCTAACCATTTGCATTCGGCTATTCATCCCCCCCCCCTTATCATCTAAAGCGCATGTGTTAGACCATATGGTCAACTCTTGTCCGTGATTTATCAAGTTTGATATAAACAGCATTTATCCCATGTCATCTGGTTCACTTTTATTTCCTGTCTACATTTTATAATATATATTAGATGATTAGGCCATATCATATAACAGTTCTGTTTGCTGTATATACGCCTATATTTTTATTCTACATAACAGGGGGTTTGATACTTTAAACCTTGGCCTAAATCTATTTGTAAATTTTTGTCAAGGTCGCTGAGATGTAAATAAGCTTAAGGCAGGTGATAGTTGGCGAGATTGTAGGTATAGGTAATTATTAGGACTAGGTCCAGGGTTAGGGTTAGGTTTAGGGTTAGCACGAGGCCTGTTTACATCTCGTGACCTATGACGTAAAATTGAGTTGGCCTTATCATTTAGTACAAACCCTAACGCTTGTATAAAACTTTTGAATTGTAATTGATAAGAAACATTTTTTATGTTATGGCTCACTCTGTAAGTAATGGAAATGAAAGGAAATAGGGTTTAACGTCCGACTGTTCTGATCTGACTGGGCTAATGAAGATGGCCATACAGTATATGTACTATGAGGGAAATTTGGTCCGGACAGCAAAGCTATGGCCTACTCTTATATCAAATTCCAACTGCTAAGGAATCTTTTACATCCACACAAATGTGTACACGGGACTTCAGTCTTTTGTCCCATCCGAATGACTAGATGTTGTCCCTTGCCAGACCCTTAGGCCTGCACCACTGACAAGGAGGAAAGCAGAAGATCCGGGGGAAAACTCATGAGATTGGACAGGCAACCCTACTCCTTGTCACATAACTTAAAGCAATAATTTCATATTTTCTAAGAAAGTCAAAACATAATTATTTCTATGTGTTTTGCTCAATAGGTTGTCAACTCACTATTATACGATCATAGGTATTATTCTACTACTTAAAAATCCTTTGACCCCGGAAATATTAACACAATTACCTCCCTTGTTTTTCTATTCCCCCTCACCCCCGCCCCATGGAATAGCTATCTTCAAAAGTTTGAATTTGAAGTTAAAAATGATACTTTTGCCAATTTCTCAACTGGCAATAGTGAATTATAGGATTAATAGGATTATTCTTTAACAAGGTAGGACTGTTTATAGATACCATCTATTTTAAGGCCTTATTTTAATACCTTTTAAAAATATAACTTAAAAATATGAGATTGCAACTTTAACTCAATGACAGACCTTGTGATTTCACAAGCATGTGTTAAACCACTAGACCACCCAACCCCCTCACCTCGGTTATATATTTATATTTATAAGAATACGAGCTGTTATTAAGATTAATACGGTAGTTATTAACTGAAAATCAGCGTCTGCCCACACAGAAAACATGGTGTATTATCAACAGATGTTTCTACAGGAAAGTCGTTGGCTAGAGAAAGGAAAACAGTAGTTCTAAAATCATTAAATAACTTATTATGAAAACAAACAAATGAAATGGGGTTTAGCATCCTACTTGACTAGGCCAATTAAGATGGGTTTACATCATACAGTTTGCTATGAATGAGATTTTGCCCGGACAGTGGCACTACTGCCTATCCTTATTTCAAATTCCAACTGTTAAAGTTCTTTTATGTGCATGCCAGTGTGTACACAGTAAATCAGTTTTCCGTCCCATCCAAAGAACTATACGGTAACAAGCCAACAGTGAGGCTGATGTCCCCCGCCGAAATAGGAAAATAATTAGAGGACACATATAAATTTATCACAAATTATCTTTTACAAAGTATTGAACAATCAAACAGTATATCTTTACTTATAGTCTAAGCATACAATGTTTTTGATGGAATAATTATAGCATATTAAGGGGAAAACATGCTCTATGCCTACAGATCTAGAGTTTGGTTGTATCAACGGGTCTATTTTCCATCTTGCTGCAAGTTTTGCAAAGTTCACTGTTTTCTTTCTGTCATTAAATGTCAATTCATTATTGCATACTACATATTTAATTAATTTATAATAGTTTCTTTTTCAATTTGTTTTTTCCATTTATTTGTTTATTTACCTTGCGTATATTCATTGTATTGGATTGTATTGGAATTGCTCAATTGATGCTTTTATCAATACCTGGTTATAATATTATGACATGTAATGTGGCAAGTTGAGTCGGGACATGTAGGCTATAATGTAACCTAAATGTATACATAAGTGGATTTCGTTTCATTTTTTTCGAAAATATTGTACAGATAAAAGAGGAGGAATTACAGGGGTAATACATTGGAAAGCTTCTTCAAGAACTAAAGCATAAACTATATAAACGAGCTTATAAAAAGGAAAAGTTTGTATAAAGACGTTTCGTTTGCACAACTGGGTGATGATAAATCACGTTTTGTCTTTCTAGCAGACGACACCGTTTTACGGCTCTGCTTACCCTAAGTGGAAAATGCTCATCTTCGAACTCCATCAAGGCATTGACCTAATCAACACATACACCAAGTTTGAACATTCTAGCTCAATTAGGAAGAGAGTTATCGTGCCCCAAAGTATCAACCAATCAAATTGCTTATCTCTGCTTACCCTAAGCGGAAAATGCTCATCTTCGAACTAGGCGGGGGACAATCAAAGTAGGAGAGTTATTGTTTTCCAAAGTCTCGACCAATCAAATTGCGTATCGCTCTGCTTACCCTGAGCAGAAAATGCTCATTATCAAACTTAGTCAAGGTATTACTGTAATGAAACTATACACCAAGTTTCATCAATCTCACTTAATTAGAACTAAAGTTATCGTGTCCCAAAGCATCAACCAATCAAATTGCTTATCTCTGCTTACCCTAAGCGGAAAATGCTCATCTTCGAACTCCATCAAGGCATTGACCTAATCAACACATACACCAAGTTTGAACATTCTAGCTCAATTAGGAAGAGAGTTATCGTGCCCCAAAGTATCAACCAATCAAATTGCTTATCTCTGCTTACCCTAAGCGGAAAATGCTCATCTTCAAACTCCATCAAGGCATTGACCTAATAAACACATACACCAAGTTTGAACATTCTAGCTCAATTAAAAGTTATCGTGTCCCAAAGCATCAACCAATCAAATTGCTTATCTCTGCTTACCCTAAGCGGAAAATGCTCATCTTCGAACTCCATCAAGGCATTGACCTAATCAACACATACACCAAGTTTGAACATTCTAGCCCAATTAGGAAGAGAGTTATCGTGTCCCAAAGCATCAACCAATCAAATTGCTTATCTCTGCTTACCCTAAGCGAAAAATGCTCATCTTCGAACTCCATCAAGGCATTGACCTAATAAACACATACACCAAGTTTGAACATTCTAGCTCAATTAGGAAGAGAGTTATTGTGTCCCAAAAAGTGTGACGGACAGACAGACGGACGGACAGACAGACGGACAGACAGACGGACAGACAGACAGACGGACGAACCCATTTTAATAGTCCCCTGCTTTCTTCGAAAGGCGGGGGACAATTAGTCCTTTGTCATGCCCTTGGTCCTGCACTACCGACAAGGGTGAACCACACAGTGTGCTATGAGGGAAATTTTGCCCGGAAAGTGGCACTATTGCCAAATCGTATCTCAAATTCCAAATGTTAAGGGTTCTTTTATGTGCATGCCAGTGTGTACAAGGTAACTTGATTTTTGGCCCATCCGAAGAACTATGATTAGTCCCTTGTCATTCCCTTGGTCCTGCACCACTCACAACGGAAAATCCTAATGAACTTTCTCGGCCAGCACAGGGATCGAACACATGTCCTCAAGGTTAACGAGCAAAAGACTTATAGTTATTCACTAATTAATCAGCCACATGGTTCACGGAATGGCCACCAACAGTGGTAGTTGTGTGTTTGGGATAACAGGGGAAACAACTAGAAAATTCTAATATTCAGG